TTCTCTTTCTTTAGGACTGAGAGATATCACGGGCCCCCAAATCCCTTTGTACCACGGGGAAAATCCTTTATGATGGTTTTTTTGGGATAGTAGTGGTATTTCCCGTTTTCTTTCCACACCCATGGCTTTAGACCTGTCCTCGGCCTTCAGAGCCTTTTCGATCCAGGCAAGTGAGTGCCCTGCTCTGTGATTTCTCCTGCTTCGTGTTTTCTAGCCAGTGGAAAAGCAGGGGCCGCCTCCACCCCCTCAAATTTGGTTACTGTGGGATCATACTAGGCCCTTATAAAGAGAAGAATTTTTATATTTTGGCCCCCTAGGGGATTCTTCTTTTTTCTTTTTTTTTTTCTTTCTTTCCCCTTTTCTTTCTTTCTTTTTTTTTCCTTTTTACTTTTTTTTCTTTTCTTTCTTTCTTCTTTCTTTTTTTCCCTTTTTTTTCTTTTTTTTCCTTTTTTTCCCTTTTTTTTCTTTCTTTCTTTCTTTTTTTCCCTTTCTTTTTTTCCCTTTTTTTCTTTTTTCCCCCTTTTTTTTCCTTCTTTTTTCTTTCTTTTCTTCTTTTCTTTCTTTTTTTTCTTTTTTTTCTTTTCTTTCTTTCCCTTTCTTTCTTTTCCTTCTTTCTTTCTTTTTTTTTTCTTTCTTTCTTTCTTTTCTTTTTTTTTCTTTCTTTCTTTTCTTTCTTTCTTTTTTTTTTTTTTTCTTTCTTTTTTTTCTTTCTTTTTTTTCTTTTTTTTTATTTATTTATTTCTTTCTTTCTTACTTTTCTTTTCTTTGTCCTTACTGTTAATGTCTAAAAAGTAGAGTTAGATGCAATTGTGTGTGTGTGTGTGTGTGTGTGTGTGTGTTTTTTTTTTTTAGGGAGCTAGTTGTGTAGCTTAAGTTAATATCTTATTGCGTTACTTTAGTTTCCCTATTACTCTCTCCATCTATTTCTTGGTCTGCCTCTTCACTGGCAGCTTGCTGTTCTCCTGCTGCTCTAACTGCTTGCTGATTTTGCTCCATTTTGACCAGGTGACAAAGCCATAAAAAGCTCCCACGTTTGCAATTTTTCACACTTAAACATTTTAATAAAAAGAACATTGAATCAAAAAGAATTTATTTGTGGCATTCGCAGCCCCAAGAAAGGCTTTGGACAGAGTCAAACAGACAATTTTTAGGGAAAATAATGGCAAGATATGAGTAGCGAACACCTCATCGAATGGGCAAAAAGTTTATACAGGGATTGTCGAAATGTTTAGCATAATCAGGGAACATCTCATCCAGTACATATGACATCTGGAGTAAGACAGGGGTTGTCTTTATCACAAGGCTGTACCGAATATTCGCTTCGTATTCAAATAGTTGGGACCTAGTGGACCTAAAAAAAATTCGGTATTCGGCCGTATAGTTGTCGGTTCGGGCAGAGTACGAATAGTGGTTGTACCTTTCATCCATTTCTAGACGTGGTGGCAAACAAACATATCAAGATTTCCCACCTATGGGTTCATTAGAGAGTTATCTTTGTGCCCACACTACGAGCGGACCAATTAACGGCTGTTTAGTAGCAGCTGGAAATACCTTCCAGTGAGATAAGAAGCTGCCTTAATTCTGACAGCATGGAACGATTTTTTTTGTGGGGGTGGGGGGGGGGGGGGGGGGTGGGGGGTGGGGTGGGGGGGGGGGGGAGCTAGCTATGCCGCTTTCTGGGCACATGGATAACATAAGATGGAAGATGCATTACTGAAATAAGAAACATAATAGGACAGGCAAAAACTGCATTTTATAAAATGAAAAACATTTTATGCAATATATCTTTGTCATTGAAGGTTAGAAAAAGAATTCGTGCTTGCTACATACATCCAGTTTTAACATATGGCTGTAAGTCCTGGACAATCGGTAGGCAGGCCAAACAATTTCTTGAGGCCTCAGAGATGTGGTTTTACAGAACAATGCTTAAAATACCTTAGACAGAAAAAAAAAGCAACCAAGAGGTTTTGAAAGGGGCGGGAGCCCGAAGACAACTTATCACAGACATCAGAAGGAGAGTCATCATTTTTCGGCCATGTTATAGGATGAGGGAAAATAGAACATGTTGTGACCACTGGAAAGATCTGTGGAAGGAGGGATAGAGGAAGACAACGAGAGAAGATTCTTGACAGTCTTGTTGCATGGTATGGAGGTGTGTCAGCACACGAACCAATACATGCTGCAGGAGATCGCAGATTGTGGCGAGGCATAATCGCCCATACCAGTCGGCAAAGCACCTAATGATGATGATGATTCACTATTCGTATACGACCGAATAGTTGGTCCAGCTATTCGTATTCGGCCGAATAGTGAATATCACTATTAGGTACAGCCCTACTTATCACCACTGCTGTTTATCACCTACATCGACAGTATATGCAAGAATGCCAAGCCCATGAAAGAAAATTTTAGTAAGATCAACGAATTACTCTTTGCAGCTGACCAGGCCTTGATAGCAGATACAGCCATGAAATTGTAACAACATCTAACATCCATGAATGAAGAATGTAAAACATATAATATGAGAATCAACACTGAAAAGACAGAAGTAATGTCAATAGGAAAAAAGAAGACAGATCTAAACATAGCAATAGAGTGCAAAGGCATTAAACAGGCATCTGAGTTTAAATATCTGGGAACTACATTTACCGAAGATGGAAAATTGGATAAAGAAATTAACATTAGATGCAGTAAAGTAAACCAATTATTGGGACAGCTAGCCCCCCTCTTACAGCAAAAGACAATCCCAATCAGCACAAAGATCTTATTCAAAGCATATTTATTCCAACTCTGTGCTACCAAAGCCAGACATGGTCACTCACAACAAACCATAAAAGAAAATTAGTAACCACGGAAATAAGATGTCTGAGAAGGGCTGTAGGAGTGACCATAAGAGATAAGATCAGGAACGAGATCATAAGAGAACAAGTCGGCACAGAAAAATTATGGATTACATACGAAGACAGCAAATGAAATGGTTTGCCTACTTAGAGAGAATGCCTTGTGACACCATATCATACAAAGCATACATGGAAAGAGAAGAAGGACGTAGAGCACGAGGTAGACCAAGAACAAGATGGAAGGATAACATCAGAGAAACTCTACAACAGCACGGTGTGCCTATGGTCGAGGCGGCCAGAAGAGCTAGAAACAGAACCTTAAATCTCCCTCGACACCCACAGCGGTAAAAGAGGAAGTGACAAAGAAGAAGAAGAAGAAGAAGAAGAAGAAGAAGAAGAAGAAGAAGAAGAAGAAGAAGAAGAAGAAGAAGAAGAAGAAGAAGAAGTAGAAGAAGAAGAAGAAGAAGAAGAAGAAGAAGAAGAAGAAGAAGAAGAAGAAGAAGAAGAAGAAGATGAGAAGAAGAAGAAGAAGAAGGAAGAAGAAGAAGAAGAAGAAGAAGAAGAAGAAGAAGAAGAAGAAGAAGAAGAAGAAGAGGAGGAGAAGAAGAAGAAGAAGAAGAAGAAGAAGAAGAAGAAGAAGAAGAAGAAGAAGAAGAAGAAGAAGAAGAAGAAGAAGAAGAAGAAGAAGAAGAAGAAGACAAACCCGTTTGATTATTTGAAGCTCGAGTGAAATCATTTACCAGTGATGTGCTTCAGTAAATACATTGCCTTTTTCTTCTTTTTCTTCTTCCTCCTCCTCTTGTTGTTGTTGTTGTTGTTGTTGTTGTTGTTGTTGTTGTTGTTGTTGTTGTTGTTGTTCTTCTTCTTCTTCTTTTTCTTCTTCTTCTTCTTCTTCTTCTTCTTCTTCTTCTTCTTCTTCTTCTTCTTCTTCTTCTTCTTCTTCTTCTTCTTCTTCTTCTTCTTCTTCTTCTTGTTCTGCTGCTGCTTCTTCTTCGTTCTTCTTTACGTCCTCTTGTATCGCTTCTGGTGTCAAGGGAGGCATAATGTCTTCCTTGAATACTCTGCCCAAGTTGTTGAACTTCTTAGCTCATAGTGTGGGCGATCTTGTATCTTAACTTCAATATCGGCTAATGAATCCAGACTCTTTCAAAGGCTTTCTCTCTATCTTCTCCCACATGTGTCATCGTCTACCTCTTACTAGCTTGCCTTTGACGTTTCAATCTAGTAAGTTTGAAAAAAAAAATAGCGTTCTCTTTTAATCTTCATCTTTGGTCAATATCTGCTATTGCCGCTTGGCGTCACAGTTCATCAAACGATGGGCAGCCGGGGCGCACTCAGTCGCTTGAAATGCCGTGAGGTTGTGCAGTTATGCAGCCATTCTCAAACATCTCATCTCACAGTAGTTATCTTTCGGTTTTTTTTTTTTTTTTCAACATCCAAGTCTGACACTCGTAACCTATAGTCTTTTGGGATAGCAGGGTGTAGGTAAAATTGGGGCAATTTTGGTATGCCTTTGTTGGCTTGTTGGATTCTCGTTTCGTATCTTCTGTTTTACCACTGTATGTAAAGATGCTTCCCAAGTGTTTAAATTCTTGCATTTGTGTCAGGCTTTGATCTTTATGTATATACTAGGGGGGGGGGAGGGGAGAGGGAGGGAGAGGGGGAGGGAAAGGGTGGGACTTCCTTCGACTGTAAAGGGCCAATTCCAAACACCACCCCCCCCCCCCCCCCCACCGTTCCCCCGCCCCTCAGTAATTGCTCTTGTGGCTCTCAAGAGTCATAAGGCAAGTAAACCTCACTTCCCCCCCCCCTCACCCCTCCCCGCCCCCGTTTTTCGGCGATCCTGCTTGTTTCCTCTTGTCTGAAACCTTCATTGATGGAATAAACCCCCCCCCCCCCCCCCCCCCCCCCGCCGCCCCCAATATCGTGGAAATTTCCTTCAAAAATTTATAAATAGATATCTGCCATGACGTATTTCCCGTTTGATTATTTTCTGCGCTACGGTTGGACAATTCGTTCCCCGGAAGCACGTGACTATTACGCAAGTAGGAATCCCTGAAATTGCGTGAGGAAAAGTCGTCACCCAGCTCTGAAAGTTTCTCAGTTCTTCGCCCAGTTTCCAATGTTTTATGACCACGCAAAGATCCTTCACTGTAAATTATGGCTGGAGTCTTCGACTTAGAACTCACGGAGGATGGTGGACGGACAGAGGAGTTGTCGGATGAAGAATACTTTGAGGCCGACGAGACTGGACGACAACAGGTTAGTGGTCGTTCATGTCGTCTTTGTCGGGCCTGAAGATCCCTTACTTCTTGCTGCCTCCGCAATTATGGGTCGTGTCGGCGGCGGACAAGATTTCATTATCGCTGACCTGTCAGATAATTTGGCAATGAAATCAGTTAAGAATAGTAACTACTCTTGGCTGGTAGTGTTGACAGTAGCTACTACATAAATTGACAAATGACAGACTCATAATCGAGCCATGTTGCCTTTGTCAAGTCACTATTGCACAACCTACCGCCTTGCTTTTTTTACTTTTCACCCCCACGATTGTCATTTGAATTTTTTATGATTTATCGAGATGGTGGGCTTTGACTTGTAGTGTATTATAGAAAATGAAAGTATGTGTTGACTAGGAGACACAGTTTGAAGCTTATCAGATGACGATTGTCACCACATAGTTGTCAGAATTCACTTTTGTTGCGCTTCCCACTGAAAGCTTCCATGTCCACCATTATTATTATTTATATATTTTCAAAGTACAAATTTTTAGCTTTCAGAAACGGACTTGTTCGTTTTAGAGAGGTCACTATCTTTTAATACACGTGTAAAAGTAGTTCTAAAGTAATATTTAAGAAATATTTTGTGAAGCAGTTGGTTCAGGTTGTTTGTTGGTAAAAATATTAAAGTCATCTTTCTAAAAATCATCCCATGTTATGTTACTGTTATTTTCTTTCTTTCCACTTCCACCATTTTTTATTTTATATCTATTAAATTATTTAAAAGCTGAAATATTTTGGTCATATCAAGCGCCACGACGGATTGGAACAAAATTATAGCTGAAGGCATGGTACCAGGAAGGAGGGGTAGGGGCCGACCGACACGAAGATGGGCACAGGATATGACTCCTTGAGTGGGAAAGTTCATGAGGTGGGAGAGCTGGCGAGAGACCAAGTTTCTTTCAGGCAGACTGATGAAAGCGACGTTCTGCAAAGGACCTGCTACATGATGATGATTAAATTATTGTTATAGTTCTGCAAATGAGAAAATATGACCAGTCACTGTAACCAAGTTTGACCATAATTTGTTGACCTATAGAGGTAATTGCCATCAGGCATATTGGGACTTGGTGGGTGATGTGGCTACCATCACGCCGGCCGCCTTTACTTCGCAGGACTGGACCTGGTATACACCGAAGGCTGGGTCGACCTAATGGTCTTTGAAAAAGTCCGGCTTTGTCAGGGCACGACCTTTCGATCGGCAGGCGGTCATCTAGCCGCCAACACCACAGTGACTTCCCTTGATGACCAATACTTAGAAGTATGTGGGTTCTGTAGCACTAGCTCAAACAAGAAAAAAGTTGACATGTATAGGAGACACTACAAAAAACCTCAGTAGTATGATATCGTCTCTGGGGTGAATCCAGAGAAGTCACAAGTGATAGTATGAGTAATAGTAATGTAAAAGTTCAGTCCCTTTCCCCAGACAGTTGAATATTTTAGGGGGTGGAAGATAGGCTGCAAGCAGTTGTGGGACCTAGGCTGCACTCACTCATGGGACGTATGTGGGTGGAGTTAGGCCCAGTTTTAGATGTTTTGTGGTAGTTTAAAGCATCAGAAAGCCAGGAAACCCGCTCTTACCACCCTTGGAAATATTGGAATGTCCTGTGACATCATCCTGGAAAGAGAAATTTGGAAAGCACCCAATGTTGAACATAAAAGTAAAGAAAAAGGACCCTTTTTAGTTTATGGGACCCATATTTTTATGGACCAGTCAGTGAAGATTGCAGTAAAGCAAATCAAGTATTGTGACAGTTAGCCTTTTTATTACAACATAGCACAGTCCTGATTAGCAGCATGAAACATGTCATACGAAGTGTATTCATGCACACCCTATGATACCAGTGTCAGACATGGTCACTTACAAAAGGACCAGAAAAGAAAACCAACCATGGAAATTTGATGATTAGAAAAGAGTTGTTAGGGTGACCAGAATAGACAGTAATTACAAAGGAGGTCATAACAGAAAAGTCAGCACAGAATCAATTCTAAATTTCATACATAGACAGCAAGTCAAATGGTTTGCCCAGAGAGAGAGAGAGAAGGTCCTGTGATGCCATACCATACACCAGGGCTATTCAACTAGCAGCCCGTGGGCCAGATTTGGGCTTAGCAAGTGGCCCGCGGATTAATTCTAGCTGTATTGTCTTTACGATCTTTCTTTGCTGGGACTGAAGCCTCTGGCCCTTGGCTATCCCCATTTTTGAACATTTTGGCCCCTAAGCCAACTTAGTTGAATAGCCCTGCCATACACCAAATAAAGAGTACGTGGAAAACAAGGGGGACCAGAAACATGATGGAAAGATAACATTAGAGAAACTCTACAGTGGTATGATGTGTGTATGCTGTCAAGGCGGCCAGAAGAGTGAGAAGTAGAATCTACTGAAAGAAAAGAATAAGGAAAATGTAGTGCTCACTGGGGGATGAGGTCGCCACCATGGCTTTCCAGAATGTCTCTGAGTTTACATGTTGGTGTAGTGCCATGTGACCATATTACTTTCATGTAAGAATGACAAAAGAGTCAGCTGACAAAATGTGAGCACGTACAGAGTAAAACCATGAGGGGGTATTCTCAGATGCACAAGCGATACCCTAGTGGTATGTACCAGTATGTGTGGTATATACTTGCACTACTAACTTTTTAATTACAGATATGCTCTATGCAAGCAAGGTCACTAATAAGAAAAGCAGTTCCCCCTACCACCCCCCCAAAAAAATCCTGGCTGGTTTGAGAATCAGCTGCACAGACATAAGATTTTTAAAATAGCTCACAGAGCAAGTTGAGACAGTTATGCTCCATGCAAAATGGCAAGAATCAGTTCAGAGGTTCCTTGTGTGGGTTCCGGGGCTCCACTTTGTGGAAAACAATAATAGACCCACAGCCTTCCCAGCAAGAATATCGTAAGAGTCAACTAAGTGGGGCTTCCTTCAAAGTCGGAGTGCATCTGCCTGAGAGGCAAGGAAACACCAATCTGTACACATGTAAGTCAAATCTGTAAACCAGATATGCACGCAACAGTCAGGTTCTTGAAAAAGACTTATGTCCAGAGGTGGACAAACAACCAAAACTTTCTGTCGGAAGTTTACAGCCGGTGAGTGTAAAGAAGAAGAAGAATTTGGAGGTCCCAGGTAGTTAGTGCCTTTTGCATATTTTCTGCAGGCCATGCCAGTGTTTTGGTAAACAAACAGGCAGACTACCTGGCTCTGCACCACTTGATGATAATTTGCATGACAAGTTAGATTTCAATGCCCTTTTGGGAGCAGTAAACTTTGAGAGACATAAAAAGATAATGCATCAGGCAGTGACTAAGGGCATATGGCTCACAGTTAATGCTCAGAGATAAATCAAGACAGACATACAATCAGACTTCTGCTAGTACCATCGGAGTTGGAGCTGCACTGGATGTTGAAGAATGGAGCCAACATGCTTAACCCTACCAGACCTGAGGCCCTGAACCTAACTGCCCCCTATACCTGAGTTCCTGGGCATCAACACGAAAAACCAACATGATATACAAAAATATTAGTTACATGCAAACAAGTGGTTAGAATAAGTTGAAACTTGGAGACATTGTAGAAAATAGGTTTGCCTTTCATCTAGCGCAAATATTCCACCTTTGTGTGCAGTTCTACCCAGACATATCGGCATTGTTTCACAAAGGGGGCACCAGATGTTGCTGTTTGAGGGACATGCCCCTTTTCTTACTATCGATCTAGTTTTAAATCTAATTTTCAAGACTTCCCTCATCACTCTGACTGTATCAATAACTTCAACTAGAAACATATTCTTCATAAAAATTCTGATGGCTCAAGAGTCTAAATCAACCAAAGTATCGATCACCTGTTGGACTGTGAAAAGCCTAGACCTACTTTACTTTCCTGTCGAATGCCTGGTTCATCAACCGCTCGTTTTATTGTGAAATTTCAGAATTTTTTCCCGTCAAACAATGCAAAGAACCCCGTGTGGGTTCCGGGGCCCCATTGTGGGGAAAACAAGAATAGATCCACTGCCTCCCCAAAAGCATGTCGTAAGAGTCGACTAAGGGCATCCTTTGAAGTCGGAGTGCATCTGCCGGAGAGGCAAGGAACCAACAGTCTGTATTCAAGAGAATGAGATCTGTAAAACTGATGCACACGCAACACTCAGGTTCTGGAGCAGGACTGCGGTTCAGTAGTGGACAAGCAACCAGAACCTTCCGCCAGAGTTTACAGCTGGTGAACGCGAAGAAGAAGAATACAAAGAAAACCCAGACACACGTGTGCTGCAATTCGCAATGACTAACCACGAGGTTTGATAACGATTAGCTCTTTTGAGTTTGTGACACATTGTTTTCAGTTTAGTAAAAAATTCCCGACATAAGGGACAGCGGTTTGGGGGCAGATTATATTCCCGAAATTGAGGGACAGCTTTCTCTCAGATTAGGAAATTCCCGTAATAGCAGGCCAGCAGTCTGGTAGAGTTAAAGGAATGCCCCAATTGCTGCAGTGTTGGTTCCCAGCTCAGCTTGTCATGTGAGCATTGTATTGATAGCTCCCACCTTTGTACTCTGTAATTTGTTAATGACTGATTTCTTTGCTGTTTTATAGGAGTATGGCGGAGATGGATTACCCAAGTAAGTTGTTAATTACACATATTTCCCCCTTGTGGGTTCCGTGGCACTGTTAAGGAAGTGGAGGGGGGGGGGTAAATCCACTCCCTACCCAGAAGCATGTAGTGAAAGTCAACTAATTGGGAGCTTCCTTCAAAGTCGGAGTGCATCTGCCTGAGAGGCAAGGAACCAAAAGTCTGCATACAAATAAGTCAGATCTGTCAAACGGATGCGCAACATTCAGGTTCTGGGTCAGGGTCGCAGTCCAGAATTGGACGAACAAGCAGAACTTTCTGCCAGAGTTTACAGCTGGTGAACGCATATGAGATTACATGTATTCTAGTTTTGTTTCATTGTTGTTGTCCTGATTTGCTGTTAATGTCACATAGGGCTCAAAATCTGTTCCTTTTTCCTGTCTGTTCAGTGTAGTAAAACTTGTTTCATAATGAAGGTTGGCTGCAATAGATCTCAAAACATGCTGTGTCTCTTATCTTAGTTGTACACTGTCTCAGACCTCTGTTCGTCTGTCGCTTTATGTTGTCCCTCACTTGTATCACTTTATGCCTTCTGCTGTCTTGCCCTCGACCTTTTCCTTCAGTATGGTTTTTAAAAGAGTAGTATGTCTTTTAATGTGGCCAACATATTTCAATTGTCTGTTTTGTTTTAATTATTTTTTTTCATTAACAGTCTATTCAGAACCTCTGTATGTGGTTATTTTTTGTTTCCGTGAAAAATTACATATTCTTCAGTTTTTTTGGGGGGAATCTTTTTGATATCATGGATTAAAATGAATCTAATCCTGCCATCTTTGGTCTCTTGAATCCAATCCTGCATATCTGGTCTCTTGTCAGATTTCCATTTGGGTGTCATGATGTTCTCAACCTATATGTTTCTGTATCACCATCTTCTTAGTCTTACTGTCCTCTAACTGGTTGTCCAGAAATTTCACTTGTTCCCCTGCCTTTATGGATTTGTCCCATTTAATGTTTATCACTTCTCTCCAGATTTGTTTTTTAATGGATTTGTTTTCCTTGTCTTCACTGGTTCTCTAACTGGAAAGGTCATGGGTAGTAAGCATCCTTTGGATCTTTTCTCCAGGCCATGCCCAGCGTGGTGGGTAATAAACAGGCAGACAGATTGGCTGGATCTACACCACTGTGTGGTGAATTGATACAGGACAAGGCAGATGTAGTCAAGGCCCTTTTTGACAAGCTGTGGAATCAGTAGAGAAAAGTTATTATTATGGCCTGGGGAGAATGAGGCACCTGGGTGTAACCAGAGGGTCTGGCTGGCTCTCTACACCCAGAGCTAAGGCAAGACAGACATATAACCAGATTGTGACCAGTGCCATCAGTACTGGAACTCTACGCTGGCTGCAGAATATGAGGATGGAGATGCATATGAATGCCGCAAGTGCTGTGATATCAAATCTTGATTCAACTTAACTTTCACTGGCCTTATTTTAAATAAAACTGGAATTTAAAGATTGAAAACACATCATTTGGTTTTAAAACTACATTTATACTTGGTTTTTTAATTTTGAAATTGCTGTTGATTAGCTAATGTCTTGTTTTTTTTTAAAATGGGGGGGGGGGGTGTTTCAAACTTCATTCATGTCATATTTCATTGGTTGTCTCTCCCCCTCCCCTTCTCTCTCTCTCTTTCTGTCTCATAGCTGTAGATATACATATGTGTATTATTCCCTGTTCATTGTTGAAGTAGGGGCCACAACTGTGTAGCTACGAATCTGTTTTTTTTTTACTTCAGTGAGGAGATTATGGAAACCCTGGAACTCTCTGCCCAGACAGTCAACCCAGCCAATGTCCGTAAAATTGGCAGGGAGAGTTTTGAGATCGTCAGCCTCTTAGGGAAGGGTGGCTATGGCAAGGTGAGTGTACTATGTACCAGTGCAGTTCAGGGTCGTCATTGTGTAGCAAGTCCTTTGCACAACGTTGCTCTTATCCCAGCATGCCTGATAGAACCTCGGTCTCTCGCCAGATCTTCCGTCTTGTGTACTTCATTGTGTAGCAAGCCCTTTGCAGAACATTGCTCTTATCCCAGCATGCCTGATAGAACCTCAGTCTCTCACCAGATCTTCCGTCTTGTGTACTTTTCTACCCGCAGTGACAGCAGGAGTACCTATCATCCTTTTGGTTGGCCCCTGCCTAACTTTCCTGCAGCCATGCCTTTTGTAAATAAATAGTGTGCTTACTTGCTAAAAGATAGTGTGCTTACTTGCTAAAATACATATTTAGACCTGACCTTCAAAGACACAATGTCACATTTTATTATGTAAGAGTATTTTCTTTGAGGCCGCTACCCAGACTGTTGTAAAATCTTCTATCATCATGAAACCTGTTTAGGCCTCAAAATTGGAGTTTATAGGGTGAAAATAAAAGGTCAGTAAAAGAGGTGAATGGAGACAGGTGATATCTGCAGCAGTACACCTTAAGGGCTGTGGATGCCGAAGAAGAAGAAAGTATTGGCTATGTTAGAACTAGTGTTTTCAGTTGCACTCGTCTTAACAGCATAATGGGTCCCTGGTCAAACCATTGTGCCAGGGCCCCTACGGCAACCACTTACAGGAATAAAATTTGTACTTGTGGCAGGTCACTGAACATACACAGATTAGCATGGGGCCCCCCGAACAAGTGCCCAGCATGAAGATGGCACTGCGTCTTTATGGTGCAAAATTTATGACAGTATGTGGTTTGACAGTTCACAACCCCTCTGTCAGTATTAGCCACATTTTTTTTCTTTCAGTGTCAATTTAATAATTACCTTGTAAAATATTTACTACAATATTTTTGTTTTGGTCTGCCATATACATTGTGACAACTGCCATTACTTGAACTTTAAACTCTCACTGGGGTCAAGCACAAATATCTGGCAGCCCCAGTACTGATTAATAAAAATGCGCGTAAATCATACTAACTTTGTTTCAACCGTATCCTCACTGTGCTGACTGTGCGTTTCTTTTTCATGTGATTTAAAAAACATTGCTTACCTTCTTATGTGGCTTTCACTTTAAAAAAACCTTTCTACATGCCAAAAGTAAAGCATGAGCAAAAAATTTGGAAAGAGTGGTTGCATGATGACAAAATTAAAAACTGGGGATATGACCAAAGCTTGTTGTAAGTACTGCAAGTGTGAAATTAAAGCGAAAATACAAAACTCAAAGAGTCATGCAGAGAATAAAAAAGCTTAAAACTGCAGTTTCATTTAAAGATATTACACCGCTGACATCTGTTTTCAGAACTATACTGATAATTGAATCATCAAAAGTTGAAGTATCAGTCGCAATGTTTTTAATTTGTCACTGTGCAATTTCCAACTGTGACCATTTGATTGATTTGTAAAAAATCTTGGACTAGTTTAATTTGAAAAGTGTGATGTAGAAAGTATAGTTTAGGAACTGAAGGACCTTTTAATCAGCAAACAGTTAGGCTTGAAGAATTTGGCTGTAATTGGTACTGATAATGCCTCAGTGATGGTTGGTATAAACAGTGGCATTTATGCCAAGTTGAAGGAAGCTAACCCATCGTTAAACTTATAAAATGTATGCGTTATTCATTGCAGCTAGCATTATCACATGCTTCATCTAAATATTTACCAAGGAATTTGGAATACCTTATTGCTGAAACACTTTACTGGTTTTCCAAATCATTTGTCAGACAACAGCAATACAATACATTATATACAGCCTTGAATGACGGTTCCACGCCACCGAAAATTCTGTCAGATTGCAAAACTAGATGGTTATCAATTTAACCAGCTGTTGAAAGAATTATGAAGCAATGGCTGAAGTTAAAGACACACTTTGAAATAACAAGACAAAGTGAAAAGTACTACACAGCTGAAATACTATATGGAATGTACAGTGATGAAAAAAATGTCATTCATTCTCTTTTTATAACCTATTCTAATGGAAGTGCAAAAAGTTAATAAACTGTTTGAATCTAAACTTGTTGAAAAGTTAAAATACTTGATGATCTCACCTTGCTATTTCACTCGGTAAAAGACTGGTGTTGCCAAATTCTAAAGCTGATTTGCTCACTTGCACTATAGTGAGCTATTTGGCTCCTAAGCCACACCTTGGATATTAAATCGAATCAAAAATTGATGATTTAAAAACAAAAGGACTGTTAACAGAGAATGAAGAGAACAACTTAAAAAACGCTGTCGAGATTTCGTTATCTCATTATTGAAGCAATTGAAGCAGAGACTTCCTGAAAATCTAAATGTTTTGAAAAATATTTCACTTTATTCTGTGAGCAACATACTTCAGCCAATAAATGACATACCTAAATATTGTAAAGTTATGAAATTTTTAGGGGCTATTGATAATAGTGTCGCGGAAGCAGAATATCAGTTAACCAAAATAAAGTTAGTTGAATGGACAAACAAAACAGAAACTAAAGCGTTTTGGAGTGAAGTGAGACAATTTAAAGATGCCTCATCAGACAGTCCATTCTGTAAGCTCTTTAGTTAAAAACAGAAGACATTACTAGGACAATGCCATTATTATATGTTCTTTCAGGTATTGCTGGCCGAGATGTTGGATGAGAATAGGAAGAAGTATGAGCCTCCAAGATTGTATGCCATGAAAGTCTTGAAGAAGGTGAGTGCAGACCTGATGATTGACAGCTTTGAGATTCATCTGCAATTTTTTCACTCAATAATTGTGACAGTTGAAGAGTTAGTTAATAACTTTAAGAATTGCCTGCACTCTGTTCACACAATAATTGTGACAATTGATTCTTTTTTCTGACCCACGATGTGTTTGTTCACTCGGTAAGTGTTAATTTATAACTTTAAGACTTGCCTGCACTTTGTTCACACAGTAATTGTGACAGTTGATTTTTTTTTTAGACCCACAATGTGTCTGTTCACACAGTAATTGTTAGTTGATAACTTCAAGACTTGCCTGCACTCTATTCACACAATAATTGTGACAGTTGATTACTTTTGAGACCCACATTATGTCTGTTCACACAGTAAGTGTTGCTACTTTGAAACTTGCCCACACTCTGTTCACACAATAATTGTGATCGTTGAATCATACAATGACCACATAAACATAAGCATGTATAAACGTGAGCATGTGAGTTGCTGTCATTTTTCCTAACTACCACCAAGACTGGAATTTAAACCTGTGGTCTGGCATGCGAACATGCTAGTCACTGCAGGGAAAGTGGGAGAGATTTTCATGACAAGACCCTGATTTTCATAAACATAAACACCCTTTAACTCTGGCACAGTCTTGCAGGTGAGTTCAAGTAAGAGTTTTGAGATCATGCATCTTTGCCATGGCAACTTGTGGATGTGAGTCATGGAAGAAAAAGAGTTGGAACTTTTGAACTAAAATTCTACAGAAAAATTCCTAATGCTATAGACCAAGAAAAAGAAAAGCAACATTCTTTATGATCTGAGCATCGAGGAGAATTGGCTCATGCACAGCATCCTGTCCTGACAGCTGAGCTAGTTTGGCCATGTTATACATCATGGTGGCCTAGAGAGAATGGTGATAGTGGGTACAGTTTCCAGAAAATAATGCAGAGGCAGACCTGTGCACCTGTGGATACAAGGTGTTGAAGATATGAAAGCATATAAAGCTGGAGAACAGGCTAGAGAAGAGAGACCTTTGGGTTTGCCATAGTGAGAAATTATGTTCTTCAAAGGGCCTGCTGATTTGTTAGTTTTATAGACACTTGATGGGTGATGTCAGTGTCACACTTTCATAGGCACTTGATGGGTGAAGTCAGTGTCACACTTTCATAGACACTTGATGGGTGATGTCAGTGTCATACTTTCATAGACACTTGATGGACGATGTCAGTGTCATACTTTCATAGACACTTGATGGGCGATGTCAGTGTCATACTTTCATAGACACTTGATGGGTGATGTCAGTTTCCTAGAACCGAAGGCTGGGTCAGCATGTGAGTCACTGGAATTTTTCCTAACTACCACTAAGACTGGAATTTAAACACTTGACATGTGAACATGCTAGTCACTGCAGGGAAAGTGGAGATTTTCATGACCAGACCCTGATTTTTCTCCATTCTCTTCTATCCTGTGCAGTCCCTTTGACATCATGGATGGAGTCCAGTCCAACCGCTTTGGCCTTTCATCAGGCTTTGTTTTCATCTTTGGCCTCTCAGCAACTCTTGTTTTATGATTTCTTTTGGACGTCCTTGCTTTCTTAGTTCTTTACCGTGGAGTAGTAGTCAAGCCATTTGCCTCGCGCTCTGAAGGTCGCGGGTTCGTTTTACAATGGCACCATTGAATTCACAGGTGCAGTGTTTACAGAGATCCTTGCGGGCCAGAGCTACGGCAGTCGTGATCTATTTGACGCTCTTGGCAGGCAGCTAGCTGTTCTGCAGAGAGAGACTGAGTCATATGGGATAAAACCTGGTGCAGTGAAGTTGATCCTGTCAGCTGTACCTTAACTTCCTATTTCAGTGCCTGTGTGGTGATTCTCTTTTGTAATAGCTAGCACACAGGAAGATGATATTGACCACTTGGGAGTAAGGAGCTGCTCTAGTGGCTTGCCTGCTGCTTTCCCACATCCGCACACACACACTAACGCACATGGCTAGATAGTGGACACTGACAGTCGGTAACACTGAGTACCTTTCTGTTTATTTTCTAAAATAGCAGTTAGTGCTGTTTTCTTCTTTGCATTCGTTGGCTGCAAGCTTTAATGGAAAGTTCTGGCTGTTTGTCCACATCTATTCTCATGTGGGTTCCGGGTCCCCTGTTGTGGGGAAAACAAGAATATAACCACTGGCTCCCCAACAAGCATGTCGTGAGAATTGACTAATTGTGGGCTTCCTTTGAAGTTGGAATATATTTGCCTGTGAAGCGAGGAACCAACGATCTGCATACAAATAAGTCAGATCTGTAAAATGAAAATATGAGTTCAGAGGTGGATGAACAGTCAGACTTTCCTCCAGAGTTTGCAGCTAGTGAACACAAATAAGAAGTCCATATCCAGACTTCCACCTTATCCCAAAACTTGAGTTTTGCAAGCACATCCGTTTTACAGAACTTGTTTATTTGTATGCATACCGTTGGTCCCTCGGTTCTCTAGCTGAGTACTCTGACTTCACAGCAAACACACCTAATTCGTCTCTTTTTATGACCTGTTTGTTGGGGTGGGGGAGCAATGGGTCCTCTCTTCTCTACTCCTCTCCCCCCTCCCCAATATGGTCAGGGAAATTAGCATCTAATGTTCATTGGTTAATTTCTGTGTACCCTGCAGGCAACCATTGCCAGAAATCAGAAAGATACTGCACACACTAGAGCTGAGCGTAATATTCTTGAGGCTGTTAAGGTGAGTGAATAATTGGAGCGTTGTAATGTGGGTGTGAATGATTGGGGCTTGCTAATATGGGGTGAATAATTGGAGCTTTGTAATAAAAGTGAATGATTGGGGCTTTCTAATATTGGGTGAATAATTAGAGCTTTGTAATTAAAGTGTGAATGATTGGGGCTTTCTAAATGGTGTGAATAAATGGAGCTTTGTAATAAAAGTGTGAATGATTGGGGCTTTCTAATATTGTGTGAATGATTAAAGCTTTTTGATAAGGGTGTGAATGACTTGGACTTTTTAATAAGGATGTGAATGATTGTGAATCACAGCTGTCATTTTTAAGCTGGTCTGTCTGAAGTCTAGTAAGTCGTCTGACATTTTTTTTTGCTGTGAAAGTTGCATAAATTAGGTTTTATATAATGATTGCACACATAGACAATGAAATGGTTTGGTCATATTTCAAGAAGGCGGCCAGATCAAATTGCCTGTGAGAAATTTTTTTTACAGCAGAAGGAGAATGAAAGACAAAGAAAGGGATGGTATATTCGAAACCTGCAAAAAGATGACACCGTTTTGAAAGAAATTACTTCATCAACAAAACTGCTTATATCAGAAGTAGACAGTCTACATTCTTTGGGCACGGAGTAAGAAAGATATTTAGAAAAAGGAACCCTGTGTGGGTCTAGTGGGGAAAGAGAGGTTGGGAGATAGACCTCTTGGCGTAAGGGACGACTAATTAGGGGTTCATGCCTAGTGTCACTGAAATAGTGTGTGTCATATTAAATGGATTCAGATCAATACTTTGTGCAAATAAACTTATGCTTATTGTTAAGCTAAACACACCTTTTATTGCCTTCAGCATCCATTCATTGTGGATCTGCACTATGCCTTCCAAACGGACGGCAAGTTGTATCTGATCTTGGAGTATCTGCCAGGAGGAGAACTCTTCACACATTTGGAGCGAGAAGGAATCTTCATGGAGGATATGGCCAGGTACTTTGCGTGTCTGGAGCTCTGTTTATTATTTTTTTTAACTTTGCCATTTTGAAGTCTGTAGTAGCCTTCTTGATAAATGAAAGTGAATCATGGACAGTTGGAAGATTAGTGAAAAAATTATTTGGAATCTGCGTAGATTTGGTTTTATGGACAAATTATGAGAATACCCAGGGCAGATAGAGTAATGATGTCTTGAAAGAAATGACTCACAAAGAGAAATGATTGCTCACATCAGAAAAGACAGTCTACATTTTTTGGTCATGTGATAAGGAGAGCTGGAGTGCACTGTGACAGTAGGAAAGTTGGAGGGGAAAAGAGGCAGAGAGAAAAGATACTGGACAGTTTAACATGACATGGAGGATCATCTGTATCAGAGTTGATTGAAAGTACACGAGACAGAAGGTTGTGGATAGACATGACAGCGCCACACAGCATGGAATTTAAGAAGTAGAGACTGATTGCTTATAGATTTATTCTTAATTCAGTGATGTCAATTGCATAGCATCTGAGATTTTGTTTAGATAAAAATTTTGCAAGATTATACTTTTCCCCCTCAGTGTGTCCAGCTTTAACATGTCTGTGTGTCATATTCTTGGGCGACTGCCTACGACAGAATTAATTCTTTGTTCATGTGTTTTCTTTTAACTGCTGATTGGGTCTTCCAGATGTTGCAGAACCAACCCAAGCATTTTTTATCTGTTGTAGTAGGCAAATTTCATATTCAGTAGATTGCCATTGTTTCCTGAACAGTCAGCTTTCTGTACCACTGTTGTAACCAATGCAAGACAAATCACTGCAGCAGGAATCAATTCTGGTACCCGGGCATTACTAAGCGCATTTGCAAGGCCTAAGCAACAGATGCCAACTACTAATAGAAAAGAGTCACCCCATCTCGCTGGCTGCGTGATTACACAGGGGATTTCTAGGAACATTGCTATAGTCTAGGGGAGTCATATTTTCCTTGTTTGACCATTTCAAGCAGATCCACCAGCGACGACAGCCAATGAGCATAATAATGCAAAAACACCTATGTTTCTAGACTTGCAAAGCGGCGTGTCTTCAGCACTTCCTCCTGCATTGTTTCTTCCTAATGCACAGGCGCCAGAGACCTACCATTCACAGAAAACAGATTTGCAAAAACGAACCTACAGCAGCTGCTTTTCACTGCAGTATGTTAACAGGGCGAAGCAAACCACAGCGTAATGCCCCTACAACATAAGACAGCCTATGGGAACAGGGGCAACATGACTGGGAGCCGGCACAAAATCTTGTGTGTGAACAAGATAGGATGACTTTTGTGATTAGTTCTGCAGTGCCTAGTCGAGAAAGTTAATTGGTGAAGTGTAAAATGTGGATTAGATATTTATGTCACTTTACACAGTGCCAAACGCAAACTGAGTTCCTGGTTTTTAAAAAAATGTCAAAATGGAGTACTGCTTTTCATAAACAATTTTTTTTTGCCACTCATTGTTAAAACAGTTTTCATAAAAACAAGGATCCAGCACTACGACATATTGTAAAATGACAAATAACAGCCTTGAAAATTAACTTGGCTGAAATTAGTCAAAACTTTGCAGTGTCGATGATATGACCTACATGGACAAATGTGTTTTGTTGTACTCTGGTTTTTGCTCCATGTTATGTTGCTCTTTCTCTGAACTCAACAGGTCATATCAAGCTGACTGACTTTGGTTTGTGTAAAGAGAGTATCTCCCTAGGGGACATCACCCACACTTTCTGTGGGACCATAGAATACATGTGAGTGTATCTTGTTTATCAGTGTTTACTTTATGGCTCTGTACTTTATACACAGGGGGTCGCCATGGCTGAGCGGCTAGACGCTCGCTGCCTATTGGAAGGTCGTGGGTTTGCTACCTGGCGAAGCCGGACTATTTTCAAAAATGACCTTGGCTCCCAGGTCGACCCAGCGAGTGGGTACCGGGTGCAGTCCCGGGAAGTAGAGGCGGCCGGCGCGATGCTGACCACATCACCCATCTTGTGCCGATTGGTCTATAAAAATATATTTCTAGCCCTATATGCCTAAAGGCGTGGAAAAGGGCCCTTAACTTTTTTTACTTACTTTATACACACTGCATGTGTTAGCACTACATGTACACAGAGCCATCTGAACCAGCGGTTCTCAAACTTTATTCGCCATGGCACCCTTGTCGGGCAAAAAAAAAAATTGCGGCACACCTGCTCTTAAAGCGGTTTGAATTCTTGGAAAGTGAAGAGGAAACAACAGTGTCATAAAATTCAGTTATACCTCCTTGTGAGATGCAATTTTTTGTTGTTTGAAGCCCTGCTCTGGCCATTGCCAGGACAGCAATATAGCCTGACCATAAATATGGTCTAGTGGCTGAACGCGGTTTCTGAGACCTCTCCATGGGTGATCCTCATCCACATGGTTGCACTTTGTGTCATCGGGTGTTTATCGCTTGTGTGATGTCCTAGTGGGGTAGAAATGTACTACTACTACAACAGTGTAAATTTGATGTTCAGGCTTGTCTTTAGTGCGATGAATGAAACTGTTAAGGTGAACTTATTTCCTTTATGTATATGGGAAATTGTACCATCAAATTGTTAATTCTACCCTCAAAACACTTGACCCAGAAAGTTTGCTCCTGTATCTGTTTTTTTATGTAAGCATTTCAGCCTTGCCAATAGCATTGTTTTCTGAACACACCTGCATCCATTGTGAGAAGCAACAGCAAAATTCACAATCTATTTAATTTACCATTGATTGCTGGCACCATGAGAGCTAATATACTGAAATGGCTGGGACATAATAAATGTCAGAGAGATCGGAACTGTACACACAAGCGAACGGAAAGGTTGCAGACCAAGAAGACAATAGAGATAATATCCAGACAGATTTACAGACACTTGATGTCACCTACTGGAAAGAAAAGGCCAGCCAGAAAGATGAATGGATTCAGGTGAAATCTGCAGGGATGAACCTCAAGGGCTCGAAATGCTGAAGGAGAAGATGTGCCATCAGCACAACGAAAGTTGGCCACAGTGTACCCACTACTGTCTTTCGGGATGTTTTTTTAGTGAGGCCCAAACCCTCCCACCCTTGACCTATCACACTGCTGTCCAATATGGGAACGCCCAGTTTGTTTCAGTGCACAGTGACGCAGTGTATTTCATTGTACAGTGATGCAGTTTGTTTCAATGTATAGTGCACAGTTTGTTTTAGTGTACAGTGATGTCTATCGTGATTGCATGACAAAACTCTGAAAAACAAAGTTTGTTTAAATAACAGTGTGTACTTGGTATTATCTTTTTCTCATTTTGTTGTTGTTGAGTAAACCTCTGCAAAAAGATTTATGTTTATCCGAACCTGGGATTTGGTCTTGAACCAGAACTTGAGTTTTATGTGCACATCCAGTTTACAGTTGCATATGCGCTCCAACTTTAAAGGAAACATCCCTTTTTAGTTGCCTCCTATGACATGCTTAGTGGTGACAGTGGATCTATTTGTATTCCTAAAATGTAGACATGGAACCCACACTAAGACTTTGTATTACCAGAGCCATTGTTCCGGTCAAATTTCAACCCTTTTTTTTATTCAGGGCTCCAGAAATTGTACAGAGGTCAGGTCACGGGAAGGCAGTCGATTGGTGGAGTCTTGGAGCTCTCATGTATGATATGCTGACAGGACAGGTAGGGTAACTGTAGCTGGCCATGCATGTGTGCTGGATCTTGTCTGACATTGTCCAGTCTGTGCTAGTGTGTTGCTCAACATTATTATTGGGGGGGGGGGGGGGCAAGGCTCTTTGTTCTGAAGTGGTTATGATTTACTTACCACAGTATTCAAATCAACGACAAAGAGATCGATATTCACAGATTTTGGAATATTTGGGCTGAGTATGAAAAACCTCACAAAAAAGTCGGGGGGGGGGGGGGGGGGGGGTTTTATAGCAAGGCCAAGACTAAACAAACAGAATGAAGAACCTATAGCACAGCACCTGAAAGTGAGTTAAAAAATGTCAGATCATGCATCTTTCCTCTGGAAATTTAGGGATGTGGATCATAGACTCTTACTTGATCACTGAAGAATACAGAACAGATTCATAGAAAAGCACTGACCAAAACGAAGAAAAACACTGACATTCCAAACCTTCTGAGAATCAAGGAGAATTGGCTCATAAACAGCATCTTCTTCTGACTGCTGAGGTATTTTAGCCGTGTTAAAGGTCTGGTGGCCCGGAGAAAAAGGTGATGGAGGGTAAAGTTCCCGGAAAACAGAGGCAGACCTCCACGAATGTTGACATTGAAAATGTATTGGCTATGAAAGCACATAGGAGCTGGAAATTTGGCTAGAGAAAAAAAGAGACTTTCAGGCGTTAGGTGGCGAGCGAGGTTTTGTTAAAGACTAGTTCATTGATGATTAAGGTGTTTGCCTCTTGCTGTGAATGTTGATTTGGAGCTCGATGTGGTTTGAGAAAGAGTAGTTGCTGGTTCCATGATATTATGCTTTGCACATGGCTTCTGTGGCTTAGGGTTCATGACTTTGGTTTGTAATGCCAGAATTCCAGGTTGACCACTGTATTAGTATATAAAGCAAACTACATAGCAAACATTTCAACGGTGTCATCAAGAGCCGACTGTTCACAAGGCAATGGCAAACTACTGAGCAGAAAATTGCACAGTAAAAGCACAGAAAACCAACAAATGCTTGGGTTGGTTCTGCAACATTCTGTGAAGGACACAACCTTTTCTTGTGATTGCTGTTTTGAATGGTTACACTTTTGCTGATTCTCATGATGAATGTGACAGTTTTATTTCTGGGTGCTCCACGGTTGTAAGTTCCACAATCAGATGTTACCTAAAGCAGTGGGGGTTTGCAGTGTGGCAGCTTCTTTTGTGTGGTTTACTGAAGATAGATGATTATTTCGTTGTGTGCTTATTTTTTCGTGTGGTACTGACTTATTTTATCGTGTGTACTGACTTATTTTATTGTGTGTACTGACTTATTCAATCGTGGGTAATGACTTATTTTATTGTGTATACTCACTTGTTTCATTGTATGATTTTTTTCTTTCTCATTCACAGCCTCCCTTCTCTGGAGAGAATAGAAAGAAAACCATTGATAAGGTAAGGTGACAGAAATTGCCTGAAAATAGAAAAGTGACAGTAGATTTGTCGACTTGCTTGCTGCCATTCCTGCAATTCTGTTAGCTGGTATTTGCTTCTTCTTTTGCCTGCACCGGCTGTTAACTCCACTGGAAAGACTTGTTGGTTGTTTGTCCACTCCTGGACTTTCAACATTATTCCAGAACTTAAGTTTTGCCTGCGCATCCATTCTAAAGATCTGGTCAATTTGTAGCAAACTGGTGGTTCCTTGCCTCTTGGGCAGATGCACCTTTACTTCAAAGGAATCCCCTAATTAGTCTACTCTTACGATATACTTATTAGGGAGGCAGGGGGGTCTACTCTTGTTTTCACGCACTGTGGGGGCCCCTGGAACCCACATGGGAGACAAAGATATTTTATTATCTTTACCTTTTAGTGTTGGGGCACCTTACTGTTTTAGTCCTAATCTACTTGAAATCTGAGACCATTTCATCTTTGCCAGTTTTTAGGCTGGGCTGCCTCAGCAGCGTATTAAAGCTATCTGAAAAGGGGTTATATTTTTTATTCACTCAAAATGGTGCCCCAGCACCCACATGGGAATTTATATATTAAGTGCTTTAACAAGGCATATGTCCCTTTTGGGTCATCGTCACTGAACATTTTTAAGAGGGCTGGCTTTCATTGCGCCGCTATTTTATTTCTTACGTGCTTCTGATTCACTCCGGAGCTGTTATGATGAACACAAAACCAGCACATTAGTAATTCTACGGAAGTATGCAATAGGGGGCATATTTTCAGTTGCAGAACTTAACTCACAGCTTGTCTGATATCAGCGTCATCATCATCATCGTCTAGGACAGTTTATGAGGCACATAAGGCTTGCAGTCTGTTCCTCCATTTGTAATTGTAACTTCTGCCACAAGGATGTAACCACAGGCTTGACTGCAAGCAAGTATTTAGTACCCTTACAGTATCCATTTTCCTCTTCAGTCTTGTGATGGGATGCAGGGTATACTATCATTTTAGTTTTGGGCGCCTTGGGGTGGGGAGGGCAGGTGGGGATAAACCCATTGTCACCCTAACAAGCATGTCATAGTAGGCAACAGTTAGGGACTTGCTGAAATCTGATGTGTTGAGCAAAAGCACAAATATCAATGGCGGCTTTTCTGTACACAACCTGCCAGTGACCCCTTTAAAGGCAGTTATAGAAAATGACCTTAATTCCTTTCTCTTCTGCTAATGAACGTGGGTATCCTACTGCCTTACTTGTTTTAGTTGGATTTATTGTGGAGGATTTTATTTATACTTCAATGGGAGGGGGCTGCGTGGTCTAGAGGCATGGTGTCCGCCTCGAGTGCTAGAGGTTCCAGGTTCGATCTCTTGTAAGGGCTAGGATTTTTTTCACATGGACTTGGACTTCTAGTTATTCCCCCTGGTCTCTGGGTAGTGAGATCAGATGCCCCTGTATATTTTTGCGCACGTAAAAATTCCTTGGCAGTTGGAAAATGAAAAGAGTAGCCTAGCAGCACTGGACTGGCAGAATTTGGAGTTTAAAATCTACTCAAAGTATTTCAAGATTCTCGTCAGTGCTACAGAGCCTTTGAACTGTGCTGAGCTTCTTCAGACTCAGACTTGAGTTAGAAGAACGTAGCACTTATTGGTTACTACCAGTGTGCCATGATGTTGATCCTTTCCTATCTCATCTCTCTCGTTCCCCACTATCCTCTCTACCTCTTCCTCCCTCAGTATCTTTGTAGACTCACTGTTTTATATACCCCCTTTACTCTGTCCCTCTCATGCTTTCCTCGTGTCGTCCTTCACTACCTCTTTTGTCTCTCTCCTCCTGGTCCCATCTGTCTTCTTCCTCTCTTTACCCACTACCTGTCCTTACTCTCTTTTGTAAATTAATGGTGTGTTGTGTGCAGATGTGACTTTCATTTTATCCTTTCCTATTCCTGCACAGATTTTGCGAGCAAAACTCAGCCTACCTCCATATCTGACAAATGAGGCTAGAGGTCTTTTGAAGAAGGTGAGCTCATTCTGACAATAATGCTACAGCATCAGTTATATGTGTGCTACAGCATCAGTTGTATGTGTGCTACAGCATCAGTTGTATGTGTGCTACAGCATCAGTTGTATGTGTGCTACAGCATCACCTCTTTTGTGTCACTCCTCATCCCATCTGTCCTCTTCTCTCTTTTTAATGTGCTACAGCATGTGTTGTGTGCAGATGTGTGCTATCCTTTCCTTGATTTATGTGTGCTACAGCATCATATTGTATGTGTGCTACAGTCTTTTCAGGTGTGTGTGTGCTATAATGCTACAGCATCAGTTGTGTGTGTGCTACATCATCAGTTGTATGTGTGCTACAGCATCAGTTGTATGTGTGCTACAGCATCAGTTGTATGTGTGCTACAGCATCAGTTGTATGTGTGCTACAGCATCAGTTGTATGTGTGCTGCAGCATCAGTTGTATGTGTGCTGCGGCTACAGCATATGTGTGCTATCAGTTATATGTGGGCTACAGCATCAGTTATATATGTGTGCTACAGCATCAGTTGTATGTGTGCTACAGCATCAGTTGTATGTGTGCTACAGCATCAGTTGTATGTGTGCTACAGCATCAGTTGTATGTGTGCTACAGCATCAGTTGTATGTGTGCTACAGCATCAGTTGTATGTGTGCTGCAGCATCAGTTGTATGTGTGCTACATCATGTTGTATGTGTGCTACAGCATCAGTTATATGTGTGCTACAGCATCAGTTATATGTGTGCTACATCAGCAGTTACACATGTTCTGCATCATCAGTTATATGTGTGCTACTTAAGCAGTTATTTTTGTGGTGTGCTACATTATCAGTTGTATATGTGCTGCATCATCAGTCACACGCTTAACAGTAGACATGTTTTATGATGATGATCAGCTTTATGTATGCTATATCAGCAATCATAATACATGTTCTACATCACCAGTTGTTTGCTACACCATCAGTTACATATGTGCTTTAATATTAGTTATGTATGTGCTGCATCAGCAGTTACACATGTTCTGCATCATCAGTTATATGTGTGCTACATCAGCAGTTATACTTGTGCTACATCATTAGTTGTACGTGTGCTACATCAGAAGTTATACATGTTCTATATCATCAGTTACATTTGTGCTACATCAGCAGTTATATGTGTGCATCATCAGCAGTTATACTTGTGCTACATCAGAAGCTATACATATTCTACATCATAGTTATACGTGTTCTTAGTCATCAGTCTCATAATCCAACTGTCAGTAATTAGCTTATTACATCACAAAATATGGAGAGAGAAAAGGAAAGCCCCATAGTAATTACTAACTACTCAAGCGATGTAACTACTTGAGGTGTGAGAAATATTTAGCCTATAAATTTTATGTTACCTGACATAATGAGATGGGCTGCCCTCTTCCTCACACAAAATTCGAAATGACCCAGTATTTCTGTTTGAGGCTGGATCAGCCGACCCAAAGAGTTGAACCTGCACCTCCCTGTGAGGATTCCAGGGCCCCATTATGGGAAGAGGAGAAAAAAATAGGAGTAGACCCACTGCTTTCCTAACAAGCATGTCATAAGAGTCTACTAATTGGGGACTTCCAAGTGCATCTGCCTGAAAGATAAAAAAAACCAGCAATCTGCATACAGATTAGCTAGATCTGTAAAACAGATATGCATGCAGAACTTAAGTTTTGGAACAAAGCCAAAGTCCAGGAGTAGAACAAAAGAATAAAACTCAGTTTTTATAGTAGAGAGGTAACTAGAACTTTCTGCTGGAGTTTACAGCCCATGAATGCAAAGAAGAAGAACCTGGACCATTGTCTTGGTAAACTTTTTTTAAGGCTGCATATCCTTTACAGGACGTTGCAGAATCAACCCCAACAGCCTCTGGGCTGTGTGGGTTTTTTAGGCAAATTTAGGTCCAGTAGTTTGCTATTGCTTTCTGGACGGTCAGCTTTCTTGATACCACTGTCAAAACCAAGGCAAGGTGCATAGGCATTACGAAGCGTTCGCATCGACTTAACCACAGAGCCGACCTAGTGTTTTAATTACTGTGCCACCATTTCCCACCACAGCTGCTGTATTTTATACAGTGAGACAAAGGGTTGCTTTTTAATTCATTAAATATATGCGACTTGTTTCATTGTCAAAACATCATCACACCAGACAAGGCTGACTATTAGACTGTAATACAAATCTCCACTTGTGAATTCTGATTTTGCAGCTGCTAAAAAAGAACCCTTCGGATCGTTTGGGCAGTGGTCCGGATGATGCCGCTCCCATTAAGGTAAGGCACATCTAGAGAGGTCCATGTCTTTTAGTTACTTGATATCTCCAGCTTAGAATCATAGCCCTGTTTAGATTATGGTGTAGGCCAGTAGTTCTCAACCATCATGTGTAGGCCAGTGGTTCTCATCGTTCCTATATAGGTCAGTGGTTCTGAACCATCCTGTGTAGGTCAGTGGTTCTCAACCATCCTGTGTAGGTCAGTGGTTCTCAACCTTCCTGTGTAAGTCAGTGGTACTCAACCTTCCTGTGTAGGTCAGTGGTTCTCAACCTTCCTGTGTAGGTCAGTAGTTCTCAACCTTCCTGTGTAGGTCAGTGGTACTCAACCTTCCTGTGTAGGTCAGTGGTACTCAACCTTCCTGTGTAGGTCAGTGGTACTCAACCTTCCTGTGTAGGTCAGTGGTACTCAACCTTCCTGTGTAGGTCAGTGGTACTCAACCTTCCTGTGTAGGTCAGTGGTACTCAACCTTCCTGTGTAGGTCAGTGGTTCTCAACCTTCCTGTGTAGGTCAGTGGTACTCAACCTTCCTGTGTAGGTCAGTGGTTCTCAACCTTCCTGTGTAGGTCAGTGGTTCTCAACCTTCCTGTGTAGGTCAGTGGTTCTCAGCCTTCCTGTGTAGGCCAGTGGTTCTCAGCCTTCCTATGTAGGTCAGTGGTTCGCAACCTTCCTATGTAAGTCAGTGGTTCGCAACCTTCCTATGTAAGTCAGTGGTTCGCAACCTTCCTATGTAAGTCAGTGGTTCGCAATGTTCTTCATGCTGTGGTGATCCACTGCCATAAAATTATGTTCGTTGCTACTTCATAACTTCTATGTATATGTGTTTTCCAATATCTGTGGCGACCCCTGTAAAAGGTTCGTTAGACACCCAAAAGAGTCGCGGCCCACAGGTTAAGAACCGCTGATGTAAGCGAAGGTGCGGGAACAGAGAAAGATACAGTAAATCCTCATTATTTTGAACTCGCTCAAGACGAACACTTAGTAAATGTGAAATTATCTCCATTTCGAGGCGGGGGGTGGGGGAGTTGACCAAATGCCCCTCCCTCTAGTAAGCCTGTCATAAAAAAAATTAAAAAATGACAAATTGGGAGTGTCTATTGTAGTCTTGAGTGCATCTGCAAAGAGACAAAGGACCAACAGCCTGCCTGCAACTAAGCCAAATCTGTAAAATGGATGTGCATGCAAAGTTCAGATTTTGGAACTAGACTAGTGTCTGGAAGGGAAAAAAAACAGCCATAATTTTCCCACGAGTTTACAGCCGGTGAACGTCAGTAAATCATTGAATGCTGGTTTAACAGTATTTGTTTGTTCATCATGAGAGAAAATCATTAAGCAATTAAGATTACAAAATTTATTTTAATTGAAAATAGTAAATCAGATTTATTCCATGTTTCACTTTGATTGTGTGAAGACAACATTATTCCGTCATTAGTTTTATAAGTGAGAGAATGTGGTAATTGTTGGTGGGGAGTTGATGAACTTCAGTTATCTGATGGTTTAAAATTACATGAGATTCCTGTAGGATTTTGGGACCCAATTTTGTTGCAGACAAGAATTGACCCATTGCACTTTTAACCAGCATGTCCTTAAAGACGACCCATTAGCAGTTTGCTGACATAGGACATGTTGTGTCAAAAAGCTTAGATTTTGCAGCCAAAAACCACAACACAGAGTACTCAACGTCCTTGTAAGGACAAATGCTGAGAGGAAAAAAAAAGAAAACAATACATAGAGTTTTGTGTGCACATCAGTTTTACAGATTTATTAGTAGACAGACTGTTCATTCCTTGTTTCTTAGTCAGACATACTCCGACTTCAAAGAAAACACCCAAAATCAGTCGCCTTTTATGACGTGCTCATAGGGGAGGGTGCTGTGGGTCGGGGCCTCCCCTCAGTGGAGCCCAGGACCCACATGGAAACAGATTATTTGAATTTAGTGGTTGAGGGGGTTGTATTTGACATTTTATTATCTTCTTCTTTTGTTCGCCTGAAATAAGTTGTCTATATCAGCAATTTTGTCTCTTGTATAAATCACTGTCGTTGTCAGTTCATTCGTGGTCCATAGAGATTACGTTCCACTGTTGTTCTTTCTGGCCAAAAGGTTTGCCTTAATATGTCAAATTTGGTGCAGTCCCGGAGTACATTCTCTGCTGTTTGGGGCACCTTTCCAAAGGTGCACATGGCTGAGATGCCTATCCTGAATCCTTTTCTAACTGCACTTTGTGTGGACCCATCTGCATAGACTCTGACCCCTTGTTCTTGTGGGATTCTTCATCAATATAACTGAGGGTGGCCATTCTGCGTTGTACACAATCTTGCTCTTTCTTGTCAAATATCCCTTTCACGTTTGTCTGGATCTGTACTGTTAGTTTGCATTTTTCTCTCCATGGGGTTTGTTCTGGAATACTTTTAAGTGGACAGCCAATTTCTGGAAGGTCAGTAGTTTGTCAACATATTCTTTTTGCTTGGTGTATAAAGCTGCTTCTTTTTAACCATCCCAAGGCTAGGTTCTGAAATCTATTTTTCATCGGGTGATCTGGCATACTGAGGAACTTTTCAGCTTGTATTTGCAACTTTGTATCTCTGCATTCTCTCAGTGCCTGTGTTTTCCCAGCTTTCTCCATTTCTTGTATGGGGGTTGATTTCATCCCTCCTGTGATGACTCTGAGCGCTTCATTTTGCACTTTGTCCAACTTCTTTAATGTGGTGCTATATGCTGAACACCATGCAGTTGACCCATATTCCAAGTGTGGTTGTATGCTCTGCTTGTATACTTTTTTGAGCATTTTCCCGTTAGCTCCCCATGTGGTTTCACTTAGTTTTCTTAGTATGGCTGTCTTCCTCCTGGATTTGGTTGCTGCCTTGTTGATGTTTTCTCCATGTCAACCTGTCATCAAACGTGACTCCGAGATATGTGGGCTCTTTATCATCTCTTAGGGGTATTCCGTTTATTTTTATGATGCCAGATTTTTGCTTTGGGGAGAGAGTGAAGAGTGTGGCTACATTTGTCTGTGTTGATGCTGACACACCATCTATTCGCCCAGGCCTCAAGTGCATATGTAGCCCGCTGTAGTGTTTTTGTGGCTATCGTTGCATGTTTATTAGTGCACCACAGTACCAGGTCGTGGGCATACATTGCCATTTTGTTTCCATTTGGTTTCTCAACAACCAGATCGTTGATAAATAAGAGGAAAAGTGTGGGTGACAGGACACCACCTTGAGGGACGCCGTGTCGCAGTAGCACTTTTTTACTTTTGAAACCATCTACCTGTACCCGGGCTCTTCTGTTATGTAGATATGCTTTAATCCAGTTGTAAATTTTTCCATTTAACATTTTATTATGAAATACGTCTCCGTGGTGAAGAGGTCAAGCCGTTTGCCTCACGCTTTCAAGGTCATGGGTTTGTTTCATAACTGCCCCATTCAGTTCAAGAGTACAGTGTTTAGGTAGATCCTTGGGAATCGTCGCCAGAGCTGCGTAGTTCGTGCTCTGTGGTGCGCTCTCGGCATGCGGCTAGCCATTCTGCCGAGAGGGACCGAACTATATGGGATAAAAATCAGTGCAGTGAAGTCAATCCTCTCGACTTTAATTTAGTTAGTTAGTTAGTTGGGTTATCCTCATTGCACTCCGGACATGTCCATAGGTGCTCAGATCCTCCCCTCAGTATGAACCCCAACGTCCGATGGCTAATAGTACCAGTTCTATGTTGATTAACCAGTCTTCTGGCCTAGCTGGTGTGCGTCTCGTTTTTTGCTGTGCCAATCTTAATTCCCAAGTCTGCCATTCTGGCGAGTGATGTGGATTCACTGCCACCAAAGTCGTCTATCCTTCCCATTTCTCTGAGGGCATTGATAATATCAGCATGATCCATAGGCTGACCGTCGGTAGTGATAGCGGATCCAGCCAACCTGTCAGCTCTTTCATTTCCATCGACGCCTGCGTGTCCCGGAACAAAAATAAAGGTGACTCCACGGACAGTGGACTTCTGTAATGATTCAAGCCATTGCCTTCGCACTGAACCTGCCTGAACCCTCCGGATCATACTCATTGAATCACTGAGTATACACACGCGGGTGTATTTTTGTGTTTCAAGCCAGGCAAGCGCTTGTGTCACTGCCATCACCTCCATCGTCATGCTGCTGGTTGTCATGGAGAAGGCGCCGTTGGCTTCTTTGACTGTTCTGCCCGCTGAGCGTGCTGTAAATGCCCATGCGCTTCTTCTTTGGCGTATAACGGATCCGTCTGTATAGATTATTGCATCTGCTTCGTCTGAATTTTCACCGATGAGAGCGTTGACTTTAACCTTTAAATGAATCAACAGACTTGACATAAGTTGTTTTTTTTCATCCTCCATGTCAACAGAGCCATCCTTTCTTCCGACACATCAACTGGCGAGATTTGCTGAACAAGAAAATTGAACCTCCCATCAAAATCGGCGTGGTAAGTTTTTGTCAAAGCATGTTTCCCATAGATGTCCTGACCTCGATTATGCGCTTGTTTAGTCTGTGCCGAAAAGCACATTCATTGATTACCATAAATTATTTTTTTATAATGTCACCTCTGCATCTCTTCATCTCTGCATTGATTTATTATTATTATCCTTTTTTTTTTTGCATTGGCTTGCGTTTCTTTCTCTTTGTACTTCAGCATACCTTTTTATTAATATATATTTCTTTTTTTTTCCTTCCCAATATCAGGTTTCTTGCTTCCGTATCTATCTTTTTCTTTTTATATATATTTATTTATATCAATTCTTATTTAATTTTAAATCAGCATAATCACTTTTTTTGCATAAATACCTGTTTTATCTGTGTCCCTGCCTGTGTGTCTCCACTGCTTGAAGCGCTTGTTTCACAAAGTAAGATTTTGTTATTTCATTTCTTATCTTTGTCTTTCCACTATAACTTTTGAAACCTAATTGTAGGGTGTACTGTGAAAGATGTTTAATTTATCTTGCATACCTATGTGGGACAACCTGGCGATATTGTCAACATCGCTTTAGAGGTTATGGATAGTTCATCCTTTGGATATTTCTCCATGTAATGATGATGTGTTGGGAAATGAGCAGGCAGATAGACTCGCCAGTTCTGTACCACTTAGTGGTAAATTGATGTATGACAAGCTAGATGTTATAAGGACCCTTTGAGAAATGAAGAGAAGGGAGAGAGTGAAAGTTGATGTTTAGCTAAACTATTCAGTGATGTTATCCCCAGACAAGCGCTTATGACGTCAGCCTGATTTGACACCAAGTTCACCAAACAAACTCCGTGCGACTCTCCCGTTGACATGTCTGTGTTCAGCCCCAGCATGAATATTTTTGATGTAAGTATTTCTTTTTATAAATCACGTATTCTGCGTTCTTCTGTACATCCTATACCTCATTTTCCATTTTTTTTTCGATTCTTTGGGTCACGACCCTTTTTTGTGTCCCTTTTCACAGGGGTCGCTTAAGACCTTCGGAAAACACATATTCATTGGAGTTATGAAGTAGTAACAAAAATAATTGTGTATTATACAACATGAGGAACTGTATTTAAGGTTCTCTGCATCAGGAAGGTTGAGAACCATTGCTCTACTTGATATCACTCTTATACTTAGATTTGCATTACTTGTTGTTGTTGCTACTTTACTTTTACATTTTCTCATACTTTTGTTGTTGTTTTGGCATTACTTTAATCTTATCTGTCTCCATACTTTTTTTTTTCAGCTCCAGTTTTTACCTTTTTTCTCCATACTTGTTATTGTTGCTGCCTTGTCTTTTTGTTTGCACCTTATTTGTGTGTTTGTGTGAATGTCTTATCGCTATAGGCAGCTAGTTTTGATCATCAGAATAAGCGCTTTAGTTTAACTCTTTGAGTCCCAAGAAATGCATCATACGTTCATAGATTCCTACTTAAAAGCCCAATGAACGCAAAATGTGCCGATTTTACGTCTTTCTTGACTACCCCTTGGGCCTGTGATGCTAAACCCCCTGGGGCTCAAAGAGTTAAGTTCATACCATCCATGTGGAGTAATCCTCTAATAGCAGAAAAAATATTTAATCAATTTTTCTAGCCCATCTTTCCATCAGGGGTGTCTGTTGTCAATTAGTATTCATGTGTGGGTTCTAGGGTCCCCATTTGTGGGTTGGGGGAGGGGAAGTGACCTCCCCCATCCAGCCATGTATTTTATATGTTTTCTTTCAAGTCGAGTGCCTCTGCATGAAAGGTCAAGATCCTAATACATAAAAATAAGCCAGATCTGTAAAATGTGTGTGTGTGTGCGCGCGCGCGCACACACACACACACCTAGTATAGACAAACAGTGTGAACTATCCGCCTAGTATAGACAAACAGTGTGAACTATCCGCCTAGTATAGACAAACAGTGTGAACTATCCGCCTAGTATAGACAAATAGTGTGAGCTATCTGCCTAGTATAGACAAATAGTGTGAGCTATCCGCCTAGTATAGACAAATAGTGTGAGCTATCCGCCTAGTATAGACAAATAGTGTGAGCTATCCGCCTAGTATAGACAAATAGTGTGAGCTATCCGCCTAGTATAAACAAATAGTGTGAGCTATCCGCCTAGTATAGAGAAACAGTGTGACCTATCCGCCTAGTATAGAGAAACAGTGTGAACTATCCGCCTAGTATAGAGAAACAGTGTGAGCTATCCGCCTAGTATAGACAAAGTGTGAGCTATCCGCCTAGTATAGAGAAACAGTGTGAACTATCTGCCTAGTATAGAGAAACAGTGTGAGCTATCTGCCTAGTATAGAGAAACAGTGTGAGCTATCCGCCTAGTATAGAGAAACAGTGTGAACTATCCGCCTAGTATAGAGAAACAGTGTGAACTAACCGCCTAGTATAGACAAATAGTGTGAACCATCCGCCTAGTATAGAGAAACAGTGTGAACTATCCGCCAGACTTTACAGTAAAGCATGTGCACGCTAAGTGTAAAGCATGTGCGCGCTAAGTGAAGAAAAGTATGTACACAAAGACATACATACGCTGACTTAAGGCATTCACCTAGCCCCACTGTGGCATGGCATTTATCTACAATAATATTTATTATGTAATATTAGTATTCTTGTCTCATCCTAATTCATGCTCATGTATGTGTATTGTTATATCATTGATTACCTGTCATCCAGCTTCAGGTAAATATTTTATATGTACTTTTGCAGGGATTCACTTATGTGGCGCCATCTGTCCTGACTGAGATGGCCACACAACCTTGGATCTCCGAACGAGGCCCAAGGTCCCCGCGCAAAAGTTATAAGGGAGAAAGGTACTTTTATGGACTTCTTTTTGTAATCTGTGTTAAATGGCATACGCCTGCATCTTCTTCAGCTGCTTCTTTCTCCCTGCCAATGGTTTTCAGATGAACAAGCTGTGTGAGACATGACCTCCATTGATCAAAAAGCTTTGTTCCCACTAGAATGCTACATGTAGAGTGCGTGTCTGAAGCACACAGGTCAGTATTTTGTGGGGTTGGTCATCATCACTTTCCACAGCCCTCATGCCTCTTATACTGCCAGTCACACAGCTGATCTTCCATACTAGGTATTGAGGTGGACTTGTGGGAACTAAATGCCCGAACCATGTTGTGTGGAGGGGGGCACATCAGGGAGGAATTGAGAATGTAGGAAGAAATGATTACAGAAAGGATGCGAGCCGAGTGTCTGAGAAGAAACAGACTAAACACTAATGTTGACAACAGTGGTCCTGAAATTCTGTGCTTTGATTGTGGAAGACTTTTCTCAACATGGGCAGGTCCTGCTAGTCACACTCGCCATTGCCAGGTGCTGTGAGTCCCATGCCTTCTCATAGCACAGTATTATACTTATCGTGTGGAAAGGTGCCAATCAGTCAGTCAGTCTTCCATACTATGATGCCAAACTAATATCCTCTCTGTTGGTCTTCTTCTTCGTTTCTCCTCTTTTCAGCTTTTCTGATGTCTCCCTCTCTGTCTTATGTGCCTTTCCAACTTTCTTGATGTCTCTCTCTCTTGATTTCCTTCTGCCTTTTTCCTCCCTACAGCTTTCCTGATTATCTCTCTTGATCTCCTTTCTTCCCCTCCAGCTTTCCTGATTGTCTCTCTTGATCTCTTTTCTTCCCCTCCATCTTTCCTGATTGTCTCTCTTGATCTCTTTTCTTCCCCTCCAGCTTTCCTGATTGTCTCTCTTGATCTCCTGTATTCCCCTCCAGCTTTCCTGATTGTCTCTCTTGATCTCCTGTCTTCTCCTCCAGCTTTCCTGATTGTCTCTCTTGATCTCTTTTCTTCCCTGATTGTCTCTCTTGATCTCCTGTCTTCTCCTCCAGCTTTCCTGATTGTCTCTCTTGATCTCCTGTCTTCCCCTCCAGCTTTCCTGATTGTCTCTCTTGATCTCTTTTCTTCCCCTCCAGCTTTCCTGATTCTCTTGATCTCCTTTCTTCCCCTCCAGCTTTCCTGATTATCTCTCTTGATCTCTTTTCTTCCCCTCCAGTTTTCCTGATTGTCTCTCTCGATCTTCTTTCTTCCCCTCCAGTTTTTCTATTTTTAAGATGTTCCCAAGTTTTCCATTTCTTAGGACTAAGAAAATTTAAAAACAAAGAACTGATTACTTTTAACAGAAGTAGGTATTACTTCTGTTAAAAGTAATCAATTTTTTTTTATGAGTTAATTTCTTTTAAAAAACATGTTTTGTGTGTGTGCGAGGGGACTGGGGTCCTGTCCGTGGCGTCTCCTTATTTTTTTTGAAACAAAATCTGCAGATTCCACTGAATTTTTCTCTGATCTGCTGCTTACTGGCCCTGATTCACCTGCCCATACATCAGATGTGGCTGTATGTAGTTCTTTAGTATGCTAGTCCCATTTGTTGTGGGTTTTCCTTTACTGACTCTTGGTTAAAGTCTAAATGTGACAGACACCAATCATGTCATGTTGTGTTCATGTCGACACTCAGTAACGGCACAGTGACACTGCTTTTACATGACACATCTTTGTTGACTGCTCAGCTTGTAGTACCTTTTAATGCTTCTTCTTCTAACCCAGTCTCTTGCTGGCTACTTTATGGGTTGTTAGCTATTCTGTGAAATGATATGTCTGAGGAAAGCCGTCAACTTAACCATCTGAGACGAAATGAGACATGATTCTATCAGACAGACCATGAGAACAACAGTATGCACAAAATTCATTGACAGGCAATCAGATAGTTTAGTCCCCTTGTCAGAATGCAGCCAGAACAACTACCAACACAGGGGCTACACATGAAAATATCTGATGTGAAACCAGGAGGTCGTGCTAGGAGAACATGGATTGATGACATTAAAGAGCTTCTGCATCACCACGGAATCACAGTAAATAAATAATATGGTGAGGATTGCAATAGAGATGACACAGATTGGCAGTAGTGATGATGATGATGATTTTATTGACATAATTAGAAGAACAGTTGTTTGCTTTCATAGCCTATCTAAAATAGAACGAAAAATGTGTTCATATTTTGATGCTCTTAAAAAATGCTGCTGCCTCTTGATTTCTGCAGTCTTCTATTGAACAACGGACTAGAGGGATTCTACCGAGTGAATGCAGCAGTTGCCAACGACATCGCAGCCCAGAGGGGCGGAGTCAGCTCTCAGGGTCACCACCCAACCACCGTCATGGCATCATCACGAGCTGTCAATGGCTACCATGTGGCAGACACGGAGGAGATGGACACCACCTCTGGGGCCACCGGAGGAGCCACGTCTGCCTATCCCGACACAACATCACAGGTCTAACCTTACTGCATCTGCTATTTTGCCTATTGCCAACCCTCAAAGACAGCAGCAAAGGCGCCGCGCCTACCCTGGCACCCAAAAACGCCCAGCACATTTGCAGCGACTTTTATGATAGCTCACTTTTTTAGAATTTAGGTCGTCTTAAGTTGAAATTCCTCCTAGAATTCCCTGTACATACTCGTGTAGCTCTGCATGCACGTACGCGCATATTTATTTCTCTGACCTTCCATATTTGTCTCATTATTTGCTTTTAATAAAACTTGGCCAGATTGTTAACGATGTTGAAGAAATTATAGAAATTATTTTTCTGACAAGTATACATTATGATCAGATAGTCTGGATGTAATGTTCTTGATAGTGGTACTTGATAGTTCTAAATACATTAGAAAGTATCCAAGTGCCAAAAAACATTAAAGACCAGGCATGTCGATCAGAGTGGACAAATAATGTTGCATGATTATAAAAATTAATGGTGCCAGTAGTGAATTTCTCTTTTCCATGCACAGAAAACAAAATTTTTTTAAATGTTTATCATGTTGCTAGATAGTACACTGCAGTCCATTCTATTTTTGTACTGTTTTCTCGGCACTTGAAATCTGTCTTTATGTTGCCACAAAGCTCCTGAGGTTGTTAGACCTGTAAAAAATGCATTTGAAACTTTTAAATTAAAGAATAGCTTAACCACAGCTAAAACTTTAAAGTAATGTACACGGCTTTTATTCTCAAGTGCGATAAGTGACAATGTCTACTGTTGCCCTGGCTGCTATTTTGTCCTTATATTATTTATGTGTAATCAAACCTTAGTTCTTTGTTCTTATGACTCGTTTGCTGCCCTGTTTGTGCCCTCCCCCACCCCACCAAAACTACAGTTTCTGTCCATTGATATGAAGTAGCCATAGTGACAAAACAATACCTTTTCGGAGACCTTAAAACTCTTTCAGTATTCAGATATTGGTTTATAACTAACTTAACTGTCATCTGGACTGGTAGAGTAAAGTGTTGGGCATCTAGTTCTGGCTCTGTATTTTATAGACTAATCAGCTCTTGAGTACTGTAGTCAGTAGCAGCCAGTCACTTTTTTCCTGGTAGCCCTTATTAGGTCAGGTTGGCCTGGGAGTTCCCCCAAAAAAATTCATCTTAGTGGAAATTTGAACTCATGATCATCATGATGGCAGGAAGCCCTGCTAGTCACTTTGCCACCGTCACCAACAAAATTATGATAGTATTACTGTCGCATGAGTTGTATTCACACACACTTCACAAAATATACATTGCCAGATTTCTCAAGTATGCTCTGGCCAAGCAGAAGTAGTCCAGTAACACTTGTCAGGTTGGCTGGTTCACTTGAAGAATTAGCATTCACATGTGTGTTACTTCTGACAGCGAGTGCTAGGATCTTCATTTGCTCAAAGTGTCTTCTTTTTCTCTTCTTATTCTGTTTTTCACTTTAAAAGGGGTGGTTGGCTCCTGTTTTGGTTTATAAGGCTGCAGTGTGTTTTGTTGTTGTCTTAACGCAACCATTTTCAGTAGACTCAGTTATTTGCCTTTTGACAACATACTCTTTAAAGGTTAGTGGATATATATTTTAATTATTTTTTTTCTCTTACTACCCCGGCCCCTAATTCCCCACTAGGGCAGCATAACTCACGTAGGGAATAATTTGGTATCTAATTCCTGGTCCTTGTTTGGCTGAAGCTGCTAGTTAACACCAGATATATATATATATAACACATTGCCAGGTAGCACCGTCAAAAAAAAGTTAAATTTAAAATACTGATATAATGTATCTTAAAAACATGTAAGTATAAATTTAATTTTTTTTTTTTTTAAATTGCAATGCATGTTTCAATAAATTTTGACTGAGAAAACCAGAAGAAATAATCAGTGATTTAATTAATTGATATTTGCAGAGATTCATTAATAGTAATTAATCAGTGAACTGATCTAATTTACTGGTAATGCAGACATAATTACATTCATTCAATAATAATAATTAATCAGTGAACTCATCTAATTGATTAGTAATGGACATAAATATGCTTTCATTAATAATAATTTGTGAATTTGTTTAATTCATTTATAATACAGGCATATTTACAGACAATTCTTTTATAGATCTTTAATTCTTTCTATCAGTTTAAGCAGTGTTATTTGTATCTGTGCCATTTAGTTTGTCTGCATCTCGGCTTATTTTTGTCACATTTCCGGTTATTTTATGTCACTTCCGTAGTGTTCTTTTTCTCCGTTACCCCTTGCGAGGGTGGTTAGCATGTAGTTTTGTGTTAAGCACTAGTCTGTGATATTTGTTTTCACATCTGATTTCAGCAAAACTCCTTAGTTATCTTCTTACTAAGGGGGTAGTGAGTCTGTCCCTGCCCTCTCCCATCCTTAAAATGGGTGGATCTGTTTTTCCCTCCTAAAAAGAGGCTGTGAATACCTCTGGTGTTAAAGGCCTTTTGTAACATTTTCAGGGCAGCTCACCTGTCTTCGGTCCTTGCCTGGCAGGCAGCTCTCTTACCTCTGGCTCCTAGCTGTCGCCAGCTCTTTTACCTGTGGCTCCTAGCCTGGCAGCCAGCTCTCTCACCTGTAACTGCTAGCCTGGCAGCCAGCTCTCACCTGTGGCTCCTAGCCTGGCAGCCAGCTCTCTTACCTCTGGCTCCTAGCCTGACAGCCAGCTCTCTCACCTGTAACTGCTAGCCTGGCAGCCAGCTCTCTTACCTATAACTCCTAGCCTGGCAGCCAGCTCTCTCACCTCTGGCTCCTAGCCTGGCAGCCAGCTCTCACCTGTGGCTCCTAGCCTGGCAGCCAGCTCTCACCTGTGGCTCCTAGCCTGGCAGCCAGCTCTCTTACCTCTGGCTCCTAGCCTGGCAGCCACTCTCTTACCTCTGGCTGCCTGGCAGACAGCTCTCTCACCTGTGGCTCCTGGCCTGGCAGACAGCTCTCACCTGTGGCTTCTAGCAGCTTCCAGCTCTCTCACCTGGCTGTCAGCAACTGCTATCTTTCTCACCTGTGGCTCCTAGCAGCTTCCAGCTCTCTCCTAGCCTGACAGCCAGCTCTCTCTCTCTCCTGTGGGCTCCTAGCAACTGCTATCTTTCTCACCTGTGGCTCCTCCCAGTGCAACTATCTTTCTCACCTGTGGCTCCCAGCAACTGCTATATGTCTCACCTGTGGCTCCCAGCAACTGCTGTCTTTCTCACCTGTGGCTCCCAGCAACTATCTCTCTCACCTGTGGCTCCCAGCAACTGCTATCTTTCTCACCTGTGGCTCCCAGCAACTATCTCTCTCACCTGTGGCTCCCAGCAACTGCTATCTTTCTCACCTGTGGCTCCTAGCAGCTTCCAGCTCTCTCACCTGTGGCTCCTAGCAGCTTGCAACAGTTCCCCCCCCCCCCACCCCCTGGACAGTGGCTAAAACCAGGTAAGGGTAGCCGAATGGTTGGGTAGCCTTTGATGAGTCAGGATTTGTCTATCTTGGATGTATGACAACAAGTGGTTGTGAAACCCACATAGGAAGCTTTAGTAGTCAAATGGTCATCCTCAGTTTTACAACTTCCTGTGTGTGAATAGTTACTTGGTGATAGAGACGAAAGATGCTGGCTGATAATGTGGAAAGGATTGCACAGGATATAGCAGAATGGAGGAGTTGACTGTGAGCCCTATGTGACATAGAACTCAACAGTACAACGGTGATGATGTGTTAATAATTTCCATACAGTATGCCAGGCACTGCGCTCATCTCCATGCCATTTATAAAATTGAATGGGGCAAATTGTATATTTCCTGAGCTGCAGCAGCTAAATGCTAGTCTACAGCCCGTCTGCCATGCCTTTAAACCCCCATTACGGTGGGGTGGACCCAGTCTCAAATGGGCACCATGAAGTTTTCTAGGAAGTAAAGGTGGCCGGTATGCTATTGACCACAATTCCTGATGAATGCTGATATATTTTTTTTTAAATATGTGAGGCTACATATACTCGTGTGTTTTGTAGCAGGAAAGTGGCTATGCCTTTCCATGGTGATTGTATAAAGTCTTCCGAAGATTCTCAGGGTGTAATTTGTGTGTTGTATGTTGGCAGTACGGTTTCAGGGTGATTTCAGAATAACTTTGACTGGTTTCTGTGTCACTTGTGTAGTTTGGTGGCAGTACGGGTTCAGGGTGTAATTTGTGTGTTTGTTCAGAGATTTAGTTTCTCCCTCATAACTTTTGTCAGCTTCAGTTTTCTCCCTCAGAACACTTGCACGCCCAGTAGTTTTGACTTTCTCCTTCAGACCAGTAATTTAGACTTTCTTCTTTAGTCCACCAGTCAGATTTCCCCTTCACGTCCTAGACTTTCTCCTTCACATCGAATAATTTAGACTTTCTCCTTCAGTCCAGAAATTTGACTTTTCCCATTCACAACTTCTTAGTTTAAATTTTCTTCTTCAGTCCAGAATTGTGACTTCCCCCTTCACATCCAATAATTTAGACTTCCTCTTCACGTCCAGTAATTTAGACTTTTGCCTTCACCTCGAGTGTTCTTTAATTTGTCTCTTCACATTCATTAGTTCAGACTTTCTCCTCCATGATTCTAGCCACATTTAAAAATACACTTTCTCCTCCATGATTCTAGCCACATTTAAAAATACACTTTCTCCTCCATGATTCTAGCCACATTAAAAAATACACTTTCCCCTCCATGATTCTAGCCACATTAAAAAATACACTTTCTCCTCCATGATTCTAGCAACATTAAAAAATACAACTTACTAATGGATATAAAGGTTTTGCCAGTTCGGATGAACTGTAGTTAACACACACAAAAATTGTGTGGGAATCGTTAATATTCAATCTTGTTTGGCATTGATAATACTTAGTCTTGAACGTCAAGCAGGGCTGTCCAACTGGCAACCTGCCAGCCTAGCAAGTGGTAGATTATTGCCAATTGTATTGTTTTATTGATCTTTCCATGCCGGGGCTCATCCTTTGGGCCATGGTGGTTCCTGTTTTCAACGTTTAGGTCCCAGAGTAAACTAATTTGAATAGCCCTGATAAAGAGAATCAGTATGCTTATAGGAAATTAAAAATTGTGAGGACTTTAACCTGTAGAGTCCTAATTTTAACTTTCCCAATTTTAAAAATAACAAAGCGTGGCATCAACCTGCCCTCGTATCAATAATGCCAGCAGAATGAAGACTGTTCCTGACATTGCCAAGTTGTACATATTGTTTTATTACCTCATTGACATTGCTTTAGTGGATTGATGATTAGTTTGACTTTTAAATTGGCCGCAAGCTGCTGAGCAGATGCTGGTTTCTCACATTTTGTTTTTGATGCCCATTTTAAATTTGACTGATGGCCTAAATCTGCTGCCTTTTGATGCATGTAGACGCTGTTTGCATGTTATGTTTTCTGTCTGCAAACTGTCACAATGTTTGTACTTTTTATTTCCTCATTTATTTATTTATGTTTATTTCTTTAACACTATTGACTGTTTGAACACATTAGCACTACATTGTATTTGTTTTTAGTGTAAGTGTGTTATGTGTAGTAAACTGTGTACCTAATGTAATGTATATACAATTGTATGTATAACAGTAAAGCTTCTTAGCTGCTGCAAAAATGTGACGTATTTGCTGCAACAATTTGGCCTACTTGCAGCATTAATATCACGTTTTTGCTGCCGGAAATGTGGTATTTGTTGCAAATAATGTTGTGACATTTGTACATAAAAACCTTGTCATAGTTGGCCAAAATGCTGGAAATTCTCACTTGTGGCAGATTTACAGTCTGGCAAGTCAAACTGCTAATAAATTACTCAGAGGAATTGCTGCTGCTCAGATTGGAGATAGGTTGATAATATTTCAGTCTGGGTAGATTACCTCCATTCTCTCCTATCCAGCTGTGCAGAAAATGTAATGACAAATTTAAATATTTGCACATTTCTGACAGTTTTGATCCATTCATAATTGGGACAAATTGGATTCCATAACTGTTTCTTTTGTGTTAACACTTAAAACAGTGATTACCCTGTTCTTTTATTGTTTAAATATCTGTACCTTTCAGCCCAGCACATCAAATTTCAGCTGATCCCTTGTTTTTAACCTTTTGTGATGTTTTTGTTGGGGGTTCAGTGGGTGTAGCAGTATTACATTTAACGCCACTGGGACATCACACGGGTGATTATCACCTGGTGACACAAAGTGCCACCATGTGGATGAGGATCATCGGGGAGAGGTCCCAGAAACCGTGTTCAGCCATTTGATCATAATTATGACCGGGCTATTTTGCACCCCCACCCCACCCCCGGCAAGAGCCAGAGTGGGGGCTTCAAAATAACAACAAAATTGCATCCCACAAGGGGGTGACTGGTTGCAATAGTGGGTGTGTCTTTGTGCCCACCAGTAGTGGGGTCTTGGAACCCACAAATGTGGGGTATTGGAACCCACAAACGTGGGGTATTGGAACCCACAAATGTGGGGTATTGGAACCCACAAATTGAGATTTCAGAACTAAAAAAAATGCAGACAGTGCAGCAGTCTTTAGAAAAAAGGGTTAAAGATTAGAATAGTGGATCTCATATGCTGTTTGGTCTGGCTGCATTCTCACCAGATGACCGAACCAGTCCATTGTTTGTCTTTCAATATAATTCAGACAGTCTCATTCCAACTTTCTCTCTTATGCTGGTATTTGTAACTCTTGTCTCTTATTATGTCCCTTGAATCAGCTGTGTAAAATGTTGGTTCTGATTAGCTAGCATCATCATTAGGCGTATAGTACAATTCCTTTGCTGCCTTGTAGCAAGCACGTTTTATCATCTCGAATATGATGGACCATCCTTGATGGTATAAGATTTCCCTGATGGTTGTCAATTCCTGCCTCTCTGAACAGAGTTCCAGATCAGTCTTGGCATCGATATCTCTTTTTTTTTTTTTAGTGCCACTGGTCAAGTTGTATTTCCAGGCAGACTTGGTAACCAGAAATATCTGCTGGCATCATTGCAGTTATAGTGTTTTTCTTGTCTTTTGCAAGCGTGATAAACATGTTTTGGTAACTGGCCTCTACAAATGATAAAGTGATTGTCATTGATTTGAGGAGGCTTGATCCCACTTAAGAGAGAATGCCTTGTGCTTCCTTAATATGCAAGGCTTACACCAGATGAGCAGAGGGATGTTCAGTACAAGGTAGAACAAGATAGAAATATGACATCAGAGTAACTCTGCAACAGCCAAATGCGACTTTGGTAGATGTGGAAATAAAAGCAAGAAGCAGAACATTATATCTCCCTCAACATCCGAAGCAGTGGAAGTGAAGAAGGTTCACATCTGTTTGTATGTAGCACTGGTTCCCCTTCCTTCATTCAGTATCATGCCCGGTTCACATCTGTTTGTATGTAGCACTGGTTCCCCCTTCTTTCATTCAGTATCATGCCCGGTTCACATCTGTTTGTATGTAGCACTGGTTCCCCCTTCCTTCATTCAGTATCATGCCCAGTTCACATCTGTTTGTACGTAGCACTGGTTTCCCCTTCTTTCATTCAGTATCATGCCCGGTTCACATCTGTTTGTACGTAGCACTGGTTCCCCCTTCTTTCATTCAGTATCATGCCCGGTTCACATCTGTTTGTACGTAGCACTGGTTCCCCTTCCTTCATTGAGTATCATGCCCGGTTCACATCTGTTTGTATGTAGCACTGGTTCCCCCTTCTTTCATTCAGTATCATGCCCGGTTCACATCTGTTTGTATGTAGCACTGGTTCCCCCTTCCTTCATTCAGTATCATGCCCAGTTCACATCTGTTTGTACGTAGCACTGGTATTCCCTTCTTTCATTCAGTATCATGCCCGGTTCACATCTGTTTGTACGTAGCACTGGTTTCCCCTTCCTTCATTCAGTATCATGCCCGGTTCACATCTGTTTCTACGTAGCACTGGTTCCCCCTTCTTTCATTCAGTATCATGCCCGGTTCACATCTGTTTGTATGTAGCACTGGTTCCCCCTTCTTTCATTCAGTATCATGCCCGGTTCACATCTGTTTGTACATAGCACTGGTTCCCCCTTCTTTCATTCAGTATCATGCCCGGTTCACATCTGTTTGTGTGTAGCACTGGTTTCCCCTTTTTTCATTCAGTATCATGCCCGGTTCACATCTGTTTGTACGTAGCACTGGTTTCCCCTTCTTTCATTCAGTATCATGCCCGGTTCACATCTGTTTGTACGTAGCACTGGTTCCCCTTCCTTCATTCAGTATCATGCCCTGAGTGCCTTGTATTTCATGTTCTGATTGTCATGTTAGTAAAACCTCTTGTTTCTAAGGCTTTTTTTTTTTAAAGGTGCTATTATTATAGAAGGTCTAAAATAGGTGCCAGTACTACTCACTACAGTGTGTCTGTTGCAGTAGCGCTGAAACGAATAGGCTTTACAAAGGCGCCAGTACTGCACGCTGCCAGGACCCAAAACAAACCTGCCTGCCTCTAGAACGATACATTTTTGTTTCTCAGATGATTCCAAATCCAAAATAGAATGATAAATCTCATGTTTTCCACAAGCTAATATTTAACTCAGGGTTCTTTTCTGTGTTAAAAAGGTAGTTGGGGCTGTGGTTTACAGCTAGACTGCCATATCTGCACTTTTCTGCCTGGCATCCAACTAAAGTATACCCGTAATTAGCCACATTTTGTGACAAGCTTATTATGGAGCTGCAAGACTGTTTATTTTTTTGGTTTAATTTTGAATTTTGTTATTATAATCCAATATGGGATCCTTTAACCCACACAGCAGATTTCTTCAGTACTGAGCAACTGTCACTGTCATGTGTTGGATTCTCCTTATCTCACATCCAGTTGTTAACACTGAACCTCTGTCACTGTCATGTGTTGGATTCTCCTTATCTCACATCCAGTTGTTAACACTGAACCGCACTGTTCCAAATGTTATTTATTCTTCTTTTTCAAAGTACTTCTCTTTGTGCTTTTTTTTAAAAATCTGAAACATTTATTACTTAAATGTCGAAACTTTCTAAAAAAAAATAAAAAAAAAAAAAAACAGGCTCAGTTATATCTGCCTGGTACAAAAAGAGTTAAGAGAACAAGAAGCTTGTATTTGAAGCTGATAGATGTCTGTGGGAAATTAGCCAGCTCTTTCTACATGAGCCAGTTGATCATGGACAATATGGGCCCAACATCTGTATTACTAGCATGCCTAGTTGGCATGTGTACATTTAATACTTCCTAAAATGTGTCATCTGAGTTGTAACACAATTTGCTATAAATAATATTTGCCTGATGGTAGGATAATATGACATATGAATTACAGTAAATGACGTTCACAGATGGCAGTTGTGGGGATGTTGAACCGTTTATTTGCAGAAAGATCTCTAGTCCAGACATCTGTTTTGTACACTATTAGATTGACTCTCCGCAATTCATGATAGTTGTTTCTTTGTCTCTAAGTCAAAATAATGCTTGACTAGCAAGTATTTGACCAAACTCTGTATCCAGAGGGGGGAACCACTGTAGAACAGGTTAGGACAATTTAGCACAGCATAAGTGATTATGGAAAATATATTAGCAAAGCTGTCAGATGTAGAAAATATATCCGCTATCGGATATGGAATATATATCGCAGAACTTTTTACACCAGGTAGCTTATGGGTAAAGAGTTCTTATTTCCCTCTTAATGCTAGTGTTTCTGATGAGGGAGTAGTTTTAAATTGTTTACATACTGGCGTATCAGACAAGAGAATGGATCTCAATTCTGTTTTCCAAACTAGTGTAACAGTTGAGGAAATAGATCTTAATTCTTTTCTACAGCTTAGATGTCCGATGAGGGAATAGATCTTAATTTTGTTTTGCAAAGCTGGAGTAGCTGACAAGCAAAAAGCCTTGTCTTGTAGAAAGCTACAAGAATAGAATACAATTTTTAAAATTTATTCTTTTTCACTTCACACAACAAGGGTAGTGCACTATGGATGAAAAGAGAAGTGTACTCTGGGTAATAAGAGAAATGGCCTATAGAAAATAAAGTTTGACATTTTATTGTTCACAGATAAATAGTTTACCCCTTACACCACTCATACACACACCTACATAGTCCAATATCTTTCCTTTCTGCCACACAGGCGGTCATGTACCATTGCTTAGACAGATTGGTGTGTGAGAAAAAAGCAATGTCTCGGTAATATACTGGTTCGCTTCTAGTTTTGTCACTCACTAGATTGTTTGTACACATATTTATTGCTTTAGATTTGAGCCGTTTTTGCTTTCTGTGTATCATGCATGGCTTTGTTTGTGTTCATTTTGCACATTGTCTTGCTTCTCTGCATATTTACTACATTTTTGTTGGTGCTTGTTAATTAACTATTGTAATTATGTCTCGACAACTAAGTTAATTCAGTCTAGACAGTTCTTGTAGTTCTCAGTCTAGACTATCAAACTAGTTCTTAGTCTGGACAGTTCTTGTAATTGTCAGGCTGGACATTCACTGCAGTACTAACTAGACAGCTAAATTAGTTCTTACAATCTGTACAGCTACATTAGTTCCGAGTCAGTTCATGATTAGTTCTGTCTAAACAATTACAATTAGTTCAGTTGCTGTAGTTCTTAAAATAGATGACATTAGTCCTCTTGTCTATGAAAAATTATGTCAATCTTAGCAGAGATAAGTTATCCACTTGTATTAAAGCGCTTAGCTGGGGACAGGTTGTGTAGACAGATTCCCTTTTCACTCCAACATAGTTTTCTCCGGGCTGTCCAACATAGGATTCCCCTATCACTCCAACATAGTTTTCTCCTGGCTGTCCAACATAGGATTCCCCTATCACTCCAACAAAGTTTTCTCCTGGCTGTCCAACATAGGATTCCCCTATCACTCCAACATAGTTTTCTCCTGGCTGTCCAACATAGGATTCCCCTATCACTCCAACATAGTTTTCTCATGGCTGTCCAACATAGGATTCCCCTATCACTCCAACATAGTGAAGACAGACTGCTTCTCACCCATCCTAGCTGGCAGGTTGTATTGACAGACTTCTCATCTCAGTTTCTAGTTGGCAGGTTGTATTGACAGACTTCTCATCTCACAGTTTCTAGCTGGCAGGTTCTATTGACAGACTTCTCATCTCTCAGGTCCTAGCTGGCAGGTTGTATAGACCATGATCTCATCTCTCAGGTCCTAGCTGGCAGGTTGTGTAGACCATGATCTCATCTCTCAGGTCCTAGCTGGCAGGTTGTGTAGACCATAATCTCATCTCTCAGGTCCTAGCTGGCAGGTTGTGTAAACCATGATCTCATCTCTCAGGTCCTAACTGGCAGGTTGTGTAGACCATGATCTCATCTCTCAGGTCCTAGCTGGCAGGTTGTATAAACCTAGATCTCATCTCACAGGTCCTAGCTGGCAGGTTGTGTAAGCTGATCTCATCTCTCAGGTCCTAGTTAGCAGGTTGTGTAAACTGTGATCCAATTTCTCAGGTCCAAGCTGATAGGTTGTATTGACAGACACGATCTCACAGATTCTTGCTGACAGGTTGTGTAGACAGTGATCTTATCTCAGGTCCTAGCTGGCAGGTTGTATAGACAGACTTCTGATCACAGGTCCTAGCTGTCAGGTTGTTTAGACAGTGATTTCATCTCACAGGTCCTAGCTGGCAGCTTTTGTAGACAGACTGCTTGTGACCAGACTCGTGCCTTGGACACAGGCTCTACATTTGTGCCCATCTGCTCACCCCCAGCTGTACTAACATTCACTACAGCACTGTCGTATGTTAAACATAATTTTGCAGTTTTAGAAAAGTTCTATGTCAAGCATTACTTCACAACTGCTAGTACCTGCCACATTATGAACATGGGTGTGTCCAGTAGAACAGAGGATACTGTAGAATAGATGAATAGTTTCGACTGCTGGTGTGTGCTGATAGAATAGATAGGTGGTTTTGAATGTGGGTGTATCTAGCTTTAGAACAAGCAGATGAAATAGATGGACAGTTATGAAAATGAGATTGTCAAATTTGATTTGCAAACACTAATTTATATGAGGACAGAGAGAGAAGACTGTTATCTAACTTTGCCAACAGCTGCATGTGAGATGGGAACAGTTTTGATGTATTCTTGCCATTTAATGCATAATAATCCAGAATAATATCTTGTAGTGATCAACATGGTTGTGGGGTTAACTTGAAGATTGTTGACAGTTGTCAGACTAATTATAATATGCATGTATTTCATATTCATAATAAAATAGTGTGTAGTTCTAGCAGTAGAAAATAGGGCCTTGCACACCCACACATGTTCGTCCATCACAGTTGATAATGATCAGTCCTTTCATCCATTGGTGACTAGATTAGGTTTTGTGAGTGGGCAGATGGCTGATAAGGCAAATTCTAACACTGAAAGTTCTTGAACAATGTGGACAGGGAATAGAAGCCGCATCTCTCTGGTGATTTGCTTCAGTGTCTTTCCTGGCTTGACTTTTCTAATTGTTGCTGCACAATTCTAGCAGCTTCATGAGCCATACATAGCTCCTTGATGAAGAGAGGAGAGCTAGGAGGAGCGGTCACATGCAGCCACTTCCTAGGTTTTAGGATCAACACACGCACACATACACATACACAGATATATGTATGTGTGCGTGTGTTGATCACTTCCTAGGTTTTAGGATCAACACACGCACGCACACATACACAGATATATTCTCCTTGCTTTCCAACATAGGATTCTCCTAGCTTTCCAACATAGGATTCTCCTAGCTTTCCAACATAGGATTCTCCTAGCTTTCAAACATAGGATTCTCCTAGATTTCCAACATAGGATTCTTCTAGCTTTCCAACATAGGATTCTCCTAGCTTTCCAACATAGGATTCTCCTAGCTTTCCAACATAGGATTCTCCGAGATTTCCAACAAAGGATTCTCCTAGCTTTCCAATTTTAGAATTGCCAAACTGACCACCAGATTCACCTAGTAGTCCAACATTGAATATTTTAGCACTCCTACTTTGAAATCTTTCAGCTGATGAGTGAATTCTCTTAGGTCTCCAACAAATAATTGTCCTAGCTCTCCAGTTTTGAAATCTAGAAATATATCAAAATATGCAAAAGGTTAAAAAAAATCTCTTGTCTGTCCAACTGTGTAATCTCCTAGTTGTCCAACATTACAATCTAGTTATCCAGCATTGCAATCTCCTAGCTATCCAGCTTTGCAATTTCCTAGCTATCCAACTTTGTAATCTCAAAATTATCCAACATTGCTTTCTCCTGGCTCTCCTGCATTGCAGTCTCCTAGTTATCTAACATTGTGTTCTTCTAACTATACAACAATGCAATCTAGTTATCCAACATAGCATTTTCCTAACTGTACAACATTGCAGTCTCCAAGTAATCCAATTCTCCAACTCTCCAGTGTGTGAGTCTTTTAGCATTCCAACCTTAGAATCTACTGGATATCCAACATACCTACAGCTCCAACATAGTTTTCTCCTGGCTGTCCAACATCGGATTCCCCTACCACTCCAACATAGTTTTCTCCTGGCTGTCCAACATAGTTTTCTCCTGGCTGTCCAACATAGGATTCCCCTACCGCTCCAACATAGTTTTCTCCTGGCTGTCCAACATAGTTTTCTCCTGGCTGTCCAACATAGGATTCCCCTACCACTCCAACATGGTTTTCTCCTGGCTGTCCAACATAGGATTCCCCTACCACTCCAACATAGGATTCCCCTACCACTCCAACATAGGATTCCCCTACCACTCCAACATAGGATTCCCCTACCACTCCAACATAGGATTCCCCTATCACTCCAACATAGTTTTCTCCTGGCTGTCCAACATAGGATTCCCCTACCACTCCAACATAGGATTCCCCTACCACTCCAACATAGGATTCCCCTACCACTCCAACATAGGATTCCCCTACCACTCCAACATAGGATTCCCCTATCACTCCAACATAGTTTTCTCCTGGCTGTCCAACATAGGATTCCCCTATCACTCCAACATAGTTTTCTCCTGGCTGTCCAACATAGGATTCCCCTATCACTCCAACATAGTTTTCTCCTGGCTGTCCAACATAGGATTCCCCTACCACTCCAACATGGTTTTCTCCTGGCTGTCCAACATAGGATTCCCCTACCACTCCAACATGGTTTTCTCCTGGCTGTCCAACATAGGATTCCCCTACCACTCCAACATGGTTTTCTCCTGGCTGTCCAACATAGGATTCCTCTACCACTCCAACATGGTTTTCTCCTGGCTGTCCAACATAGGATTCCCCTACCACTCCAACATGGTTTTCTCCTGGCTGTCCAACATCGGATTCCCCTACCACTCCAACATAGGATTCCCCTACCACTCCAACATAGTTTTCTCCTGGCTGTCCAACATAGGATTCCCCTACCACTCCAACATGGTTTTCTCCTGGCTGTCCAACATAGTTTTCTCCTGGCTGTCCAACATAGTTTTCTCCTGGCTGTCCAACATCGGATTCCCCTACCACTCCAACATAGTTTTCTCCTGGCTGTCCAACATCGGATTCCCCTACCACTCCAACATAGTTTTCTCCTGGCTGTCCAACAGTTTTCTCCTGGCTGTCCAACATAGGATTCCCCTATCACTCCAACATAGTTTTCTCCTGGCTGTCCAACATCGGATTCCCCTACCACTCCAACATAGTTTTCTCCTGGCTGTCCAACATAGGATTCCCCTACCACTCCAACATAGTTTTCTCCTGGCTGTCCAACATCGGATTCCCCTACCACTCCAACATAGTTTTCTCCTGGCTGTCCAACATAGGATTCCCCTACCACTCCAACATAGTTTTCTCCTGGCTGTCCAACATAGTTTTCTCCTGGCTGTCCAACATAGTTTTCTCCTGGCTGTCCAACATAGTTTTCTCCTGGCTGTCCAACATCGGATTCCCCTACCACTCCAACATAGTTTTCTCCTGGCTGTCCAACATAGGATTCCCCTATCACTCCAACATGGTTTTCTCCTGGCTGTCCAACATAGGATTCCCCTACCACTCCAACATAGTTT